TTCAGGGACTTAAACCCTGCTCCCTTGCTGGGATGTTCTTGTACTACTTCCATCCCTCCCTCTTTCCCTCCCTCCCTCCCTCCCTCCCTCCCTCCCTTCTTTCCTCTACCCCTTTTCCTTCCTTCCTTCCTTCCTTCCTTCCTTCCTTCCTTCCTTCCTTCCTTCCTTCCTTCCTTCCTTCCTTCCTTCCTTCCTTCTTTCCTTCCTGTTACTTTCCTTTCTTCCTTCATTCCTTCCTTTCTTTCCTTTTCTTTCTTCTTGTGAGGTCTTGGGGCTTGAATTCAGGATCTGGGTGCTATCTTTTTCTCAAGGCTAGCACTCCATCCCTTGAGGTACAGCTCCACTTCTGGCTTTTTGGTGGTAAACTGGAGACAGGAGTCTCATGGATTTTTCTGCTTGAGGCTGGCTTTGAATCTAGATCTCAGCCTCCCAAGTAGCTAGGATTATAGGCATGAGCCATCAGTGTTGATTTTTTTCTTGCTTTAAAATTTTCTTTTAAATTTATTTTATTCTACCTTTTGAGAAAAATCTCTCAATAGGTTCCTAACATGTAGTGTAGGGAGTTTCCCCCCATTCTTAAGGAACTTATTGACTGTTTATAGAGCTACAGGTTATAAATCACTCTTGTTCAGAATTTTGAAGAATTTCTCCAATGTTTTCTGATAGTGTTGCTATTGAGAAATCACCTGCGATATTTTTTTGTTTGAGATTGCGTCTCACTATGCTGCCTAGTTTGGCCTTGAGCTTCTGGATTCAAGGAATTCTGCTGCTTCAGCCTCCTGAGGCACTGGAACTACAGATGCTCACCACTACACCAGCTTGATGTAACTTTTCTTTTATATGTGACTGGCTTTTGTTCTCTTGGAAAATATTTTGGGACCTTTATTTGTTCTGTAAATTTGTGATGTTACATTTCAAGTATGTTCTTTTTTTGTTCATTATACTAGTTTTCCTGACACTCTTTACTTTTCTTATTTCTTTAAAGATGTCTTTCTATTTTATTTTCAGAAACCCTTGTTAAGCAACCTAGATTGGAATCCCTATTTTCGTTATTTTGTACTTTCATTTTGTTTTTGTACCAGAACTGGGGCTTGAACGCAGGGACTCATGCTCTGGCTAAGTTTTTTCACTTGAGCCATGCCACCAATTCGACCTTTTTACTGATTAATTGGATATAAGAATTTGTCTGTCTTGGATTTGTCTGTCTTGTCTGGCTTGGAATTGAGATCCTCAGATATCAGCCTCCTGAGTAACTAGGATTATAGTCATGAGCCAATGGTGCCTGGTTTTGTTAGTCTATTTAATTTAATTTAATCTTTTTTAATTTTTTTTTTTTTTTGGGTCCGGTTGTGGGCCTGAACTCTGGGCCTGGGCACTGTCCCTCAGCTCTTTAGCTCAAGGCTAGCACTCTACCACTTGAGCCACAGCGCCACTTCCAGCTTTTTTTCATTTTTTCTTATGTGGTGCTGAGGAATCGAACCCAGGGCCTCATGCATGCAAGGCAAGCGCTCTACCACTGAGCCACCTTCCCAGCCCTGGAAACTTTTTGAATGTCCACATTTTCTAAGAGTCTCATGGGCTTTCCTGCCTTGACTAGCTTTGAACTGTCATCCTCAGATCTCAGTCTCCTGAGGAGCTAGGATTATAGTTGTGAGCCCACTGGCACCTGGCTCTATTTATTTTTTAATTAAGACTAGGGTTTGAACTCAGGACCTTGCTTCACTTAGTAAGCACGTGTTCCACCATTTGAATAACGCTAGGTATCTTTTTCATTCTAATTTTTCAGGTAGGTTTGGATGCTAATATTGCCCAGGCTAGCCTCAAATTGCGATCAGCACCACATTAGCAGAAAAAGCCAGAAATGGCACTGTGGCTCAAGTGGTAGAGCGCTAGCCTACAGCTGAAGAGCTGAGGGACAGCGTCCAGGCCCAGAGTTCAGGCCCCACGACAAAAAAAAAAAAAAAAAAAAAAAAAAGTTCTGATTTCTTCTGTACCATAGAATGACTAGATTGTGATCCTCTTATCTCCACCTCCCAAGTAACTGGAATTAGTGTGTTTTTGGTTTGTTTTGGTGGTAGTCACCACAACCACTGAGGTATTGAGGTACTGAGGTTAGAGATGGTAATAACCGTGTCTGTTCACAAGAGAATATTTTAATGTTGGAGATTTCCTGGTCAGAGCTACAGTTGGAGAGGATTCTGGAAAGAACAGAAACAAGCGAGGGCTTTAGGAAAAGAAAGCTGAGGTTGGTATTCAAGATGTACACCTTCCCTTAAGCCCTTTCTTCTAAATCCCCTTCATCTTTCTTATCTGGTATTCTTGTTGAGTTCAATATTTTAAAACAATGAATCTCTTCTAGTAATGCTGCTCTTATGAAACTAGATGTACCAAAATTTGGTGTTTATATTTTACAATGATCACATCCTCTAACTGGACTTTTCTTTTTATTAATATGCATTGTGTCTTATGACTAATTTTGGTTTGAATTCTTCTTATATGAGTATAGTGACTCCTGCTTGCTTTTGGACTCATATCCTTTAGAAAAACATTTTGCATTTTCTTTTTTGGGTCCGGTCGTGGGCCTGAACACTGTCCCTCAGCTCTTCAGCTCAAGGCTGACGCTCTACCACTTGAGCCACAGCGCCACTTCTGGCTTTTTTTCTTTTTGCTAATGTGGTGCTGAGGAATCGAACCCAGGGCCTCATGCATGCAAGGCAAGCATTCTACCACTGAGCCACCTTCCCACCCCCATTTTTTGAAATTTCTGAGCTCTCATTCACTTCACTATACTAATGTTCGCTTTACTAATGGTTACTGTTTTTCGTTACATTGCCTTTTCCTATTTTTTTTTTTGTGTGTGTGTTTGTGTGCGTGCATTGGGCTTTGTGCATCTGAGGCCGAGTCATTGGAGGTCTTAATTACTTGTAATCTTTCAGCTGAAATGTTCAGGAAAGTTAATACTGTGGCTGGGTTACAGTGCTTTTCCTTAACAGTGGACCAGAGGGATGATGCAGGAGTTAAGATTCCCCCAGCTAGGTGCCAGTGGCTCATACCTGTAATCCTACTCAGGTGGTTGAGATCTGAGGATTGAGGTCCAAAGCCAACCCGGCAGGAAAGTCTGTGACTTTTAGCTCCAATTAACCACCAGAAAATGGGAAGTGGTGCTGTGGCTCAAAGTTGTGGAGCACTAGCCTTGAGTGAAAAACCTTGAGTTCAAGTCCTATGACTGACAAACCAACGACTCTCCTTTGTGCTCAGGGTGGCAGCACAGCTTAGGTCAATGTAAACTAACTGGAGTCTCTTGAAGGGTTTATTGTCTGTATTTCACTACTAAAGCTTCCATTTTTTGTGTGTACTAGGACCTGTGGATGGCTATAGGAGGTTTTATAGCTTGTAGTCTGGACAGATTTCCACTTGCTCTACCAACCCCTAGGGGTAGCAAGCATCCAAGCACAGAGATAAAGCTCTGAACTCATCAGTGAACATGGGGAGCACACACAACACTGATTTCTGCACACTGTGCCTGCTAGTGTTAATGTTTATAGGGTCTAGCTGTTCACCCCTGTGGGCAGTAGGCAGCTGTGGAAGTCTCATGATTCAGAGGCTCTGATCTCAGGGCCTCAGACCCTCTAGATCCTCTTGGCAGCGCACGCACACGCACGCACGCACACACACACACACACACACACACACACACACACACACACACACACACACACTCTCCTCTCTCTCCTGGAGGTGGGCTCAGTGCTTTCAGATCATGTCTAGCAGCTTTTCAATCTAAGGGAGGAAGCTGTCAGTCTGTTTGGTGCCTTCTCCATTTGCCTGACTTACCTTGTGGTTGCAGCTTTTGTTCCAGACTTGCTATATCAGGAGAAGACTATGTTGGAGCTGAGGACTGTTTCCTTCCTGTCACCTAATTCTCTGTGCTTTTCAGCTGTCCAATCATTTTTTATTATGATTCTTGCTGCTCTTCCTTTCTTTAGAATATAGTTTCTTTCATTACTCTTACTCTTCTCATTGATAGGGTTACAAGGAGAAAGTATGTAATCTTGACATTTCAGTCCTTTTCTATTCCTTATCTTCCTTCCCATGTTCCTTTTTTTGTATAGTCAGGCCCCCAGATTCTCAGCCTACCTTTTTGTTCTAGATACTACTGGCACACAAACTGAATGGCAACTGTCTGAGCTATACTATGTATTTCTTGTTTCTTGTTACCAGGGCTTTTAAAAATGTTTATAATTTCAGTGTGACCCGTGGAGAGGATACAGCATTGAGTGATCCCATTGGACAGAGTCTAGAAATATGGATTCTTGCCCCAGCTCTGGATAGGTAGAAAGGTCTTAAAAACAAATAAACAGGATAACATAGGTAATGGTATTGCATTAGTAACTTAATCCCTTAGTCATGAACTGCTTCTTCTGGGTATGTCCACTCTTTTCTGTGTTGGCCTGTTTTCTTTTTCTTGTTCTTCATTTCCTACTTGAAATTCCCAGAAGTGGGTTGGGAAGGTGGCTCAGTGGTAGAGTGCTTGCCTAGCATGCATGAGGCCCTGGGTTCGATTCCTCAGCACCACATAAGCAGAAAAAGCAGGAAGTGGCGCTGTGGCTCAAGTGGTAAGAGCGCTAGCCTTGAGCTGAAGAGCTGAGGGACAGTGTCCAAGGCTCAGAGTTCAGGGCCACAATTGGAAAAAAAAAAAAAATTCCCAGGGGTTAATGACTTCTGCTCATACCTAAGCAAAGCACTCCATCTGAAGCCTCTAATAGGCTGAAACTTTTACCAGCATCTGCCTCTACTGGAATTGATGTATTATTTCACCCAAAGAAAGGTCAAGTGTTGCTTTTGGTTCCAATGAGAAGAGGGTATCAGATATTACAGGAAGCAAGGTCAAGTTGGCATATGCCAGAGTTGGGCTACATTGTTGTTGTTGTTGTTGTTTTTGAGATAGATGGATGTGAGTGAAGGAGATGCAGTTTCAATTCATAAGCCAATTTAAAACCTGAAGCTATACAACATTTAATAGAAAAAGAGTAGTCAAAATTGTACTATACAGTTAAACATATTTAATAGTAATACTAAAATAATCACTCCATTTCCTCATTGCTGAAGCCATGAAAGAATGTCTTTCGTAACTGGTTATCTTTTATCATGCAGAAATCTATTTTTGTTATTACCTTTGTTATAACATTTCTGTAGTACAGACAAAGTCTATTTAAATATTATTACAGTTACAGTGTATGCTGCAGGCATACTCATATTCACAGTTTACAAAGTAAAAACTCAACTGTTAAGGTTGGCTCTGAAATAGAAGCATTTTCATTAATACATTCACCAGTTAAGTCTGTTCTTCTAAGTCAGGAAAAAAGAAATATAGATTTTTTTTTTAAAAGAACAAACTCAACTTGTCAGCAGCAAATTTCAGTTAAGTTGGAAATTAATGTCTCTAGGAACTGACGCACAAAGTCGGATCTCCAGCTGAGATGAAAGTTACAGTATAAATTGCAGGCTTAAGAACTTCAGAGAGCATACTGTATAGTCATTTATTAACAAATAAATATTAAAAATAGAATTCTCAAATTTAAGAATACAATTTTTATCTAAATAAAATATATTAAGAGGCATCAATGGCAACATCACCATCTAGCTAGCATTACTCACCAGAACTATGAAAACATAGCCCTCATCTCTAGGTGTCTCTTTCAATCCCTCTGGAGGGCAAGCTGAAGAGATGGCACTACCTACCCAACACTGGAAGCACTGGTTTCATTTCAATGCCAACTAAGACCACCACTGTTCTGAGAAATACTTGAGGGGATGAGAGAATTCTCAAAACAGATTCATGGCTTGTAAGTAGGGCACCAAAATAATAGCCCTGAGAGACACACCAAAACTAGCTAGGGTAGAGAACCCATCAATTCAGCCAGTGTTGTATCAGCCAGTACCAGGGCTTATGACAAGTGAGTTTTGAGAATATAATATATTTTAGAGAAAAAAAGGACAGTTTATTTTCAAGCAAGTAACTAAATGCACTATAATTTAACTTAGCCTCATAATTAACTGCAGCATATTTACTTCATCAACTCCATAATAAAACTAAGTCAACTTTACCAATAAGCATTTTCCTTCAGATAATAATATCCAAGTTTTCTCAACAATTTATTAATAATATATCTGAAAATCTGACCTTGCAGTAAATAGTCGAGACATTATTTGAAAAGCTTAAATTCCAGTTGGGATGGTACCAAAATTTAGCTTCAAAATTCACAGTACTGCCAGGAAGTGGGTGGCTTCTGAGGTTGGAGAGAAGGGGAGTGGAGTTTTTCCTTGTTTTCTCTTCCAGGGATGAGCCCAGGACATCACAGACTGTGGCGCCTGTGCTGCTAAGTTAGAGAGCTATAGGGGCACTGGTACCAACACTTCAAACTGCTGTACTTTTTTACTTAAGCTGAGACTTTAAATATATCTGTTATACATATTTACAAATATAAGAGGATGTGAACAGATACACACTTTCTAACAGAACATGACCGCAATACATGTGAACAAACCATTTTCCCAGATGGATTCTATTTGGTTAACAAGAATTTTCTTTCCATTGAAAAATTTTTCTTTCTATCGAAGTCCAGACCAACTATGCAGATACGATGCCCACCCAGAGGAACGAGAAGCATTTTCTTCCTCACCTTTGGAAGGTTAGAAAAAAAAGTATTACATTTTCTCAATTTGAACTCTATATTGTAGAATCATGCTATAAACAAATAATGTCCTTTTCACTGATTACATGTCATTCAAAAGACATCTTAAAGGTTCTCCTTGGCAGGAGCCAGAAACTCATGCCAGTGATCTCAGTACTTAGAAGATTGGGATCCAGAGGATTGAGGTTTGGAACCAGCCCTGGCAGAAAAGTCTATGAGACTCAGTTTCCAAAATAACCAGCAAAAAGCACGAGTGGTACTGGATGCAAGTAGCTCACACCTGTAATCCTAGCTACTCAAGAGGCTGAGATCTGAGGATCACGGTTCAAAGCCAGCCAGGGTAGGAAAGTCTGTGAGACTCATATCTCCAATTAACCATCAGGAAGCTGGAAGTAGAGTGTGTCTCAAGTGGTAGTGCACCAGCTTTTAGCACAAAATCTCAGGGACAGTGCCCAGGCCTTGAGTTCAAGCCCCAGACTAGCATAAAAAGAAAAAAAGCAGAGGTAGAGGCATGGCCGAAGTGGTAGAGCAATAGTGAAACAAGCAAGCCAGATGATTTTTTTCCCCTTAAGAATACAGCATTAGAGGGCTGGGAAGGTGGCTCAGTGGTAGAGCGCTTGCTTTGCATACATGAGGCCCTGGGTTCGATTCCTCAGCATCACATAAGCAAAAAGAAAAAAGCTGGAATTGGCGCTGTGGCTCAAGTGGTAGAGCGCTACCCCTTGCGCTGAAGAGTTGAGGGACAGTGCCCAGGCCCAGAGTTCAGGCCCCACAACCAGACCCAAGAAAAAAAAAAAAGAAAAAAAAGAATACAGCATTAGATTCCCTCAGTTGGGACAATTTAATGCTTTTTGTTTTATATTGTAACTTTAAAAATGGTAAGACGCAAAATGAAGCAAATAAAATTAGGCAGAAATCATCTGCTACAAATAAGCAATACAATCATACCATTAGAGGTGACTTCATTATCTTCTCACTTCACACTCTGTTTTCTTTTTTTGGACTCAGGACCTTGCACTTGCTAGGATGTTACTATTTAAGCCACTCTGCTAGCCCTTTCACAAAGGTTATTTTCGAGATAGGGCCTTGCTTTTAACTGTGCCAGCTTTGACCACAGTCTTCCTACTTATGCTTCCCTGAATTGCTGGGGATGACAGACTTGTATCACTGCATCCAGTCATTGGTTGAGATGGAGTCTCTTGAACTTTTTGCTCAGGCCTCAAATTGTAATCCCTTGACATCTGCCTCCCAAGTAGGTAGTTATACCAGACTTATTTGACTGGTGCTTTGCCAGTTGAGCCCTGAGTTTTGCATGTTATTTTGAGGATGAAATCTCACAGACTTTTCTGCCTTGGCCAGCTTTGAACAGTTATCATTAGATCTTAGCCTCCTGAGAGTTAGCATTACAGGTGTGATTATAGTACTTAGCCTTTTTATTTTTATTTTTCTTGAGTCAGGGTTCTTTTGGAACTTGTGATTCTTTTGTATTACCTACCCCTCCTAGGTACTGGGATTACAGGTATATACTACCATGCCTGGTTTTCACCTATACAATTCTTAAGCACCATGGCAATAGTAAGAATTAGTTATAAAACAGAAATAGTGGTACTCCTATCACATACCTTGAGCAACTGTAGCAAGTTTTCCCTTTTCTTCAGGGCTGAGCTGCAACATCGTGTCTATAACAGGGAGAAGCCTTTCTCTCTCACTACCTGGTTTGAGGAAAATGAACTGCAGCAAGACATTCTTCAAGTATTCTAGGTTAGCTACAGACTTCTCTCGTTCTTGATTCCTTTCCAATCTTCTTATTTCACTTTTGAGGAGCTAGTGTTAAGAGAAATGAGTAAAGAAATGGATTTTAGGAGCTTCTGGTTAAACATAGCAGATTGAACATATGTCTTTTCCTTTAGTGTCCTCCCCACTCCTCCCCACGACAATAAAATGAGGGTTCAGGGGGAAGACTGAGAGACAGTAAGAGATTCCCAAAAGATAAGAAGCAGATGAAGAAGCAGAGGTAACTCAGTCCGGCTGCTTTCCAAGTACTACCGACAAGGAGTGAATGTATACCATGTCAATACTGAAAAGGTCCTAACTCAGAAGCACAAGATGTCATACCAAAAGTTGGCTGAAAGCTGATGGCAGAGGAAAATACTACTAAGCAAGCAACAGGATATCTCCTCCATCTTTACTGTCAACAGAAAATGAACAGAGGGAGCCAGTGAGTCTCAAAAGTAGGCCCTGAAGTAAAGGGCCACAGTGTCTCCTAAACCCCTGATCTAGTCCTGCTCCCAGAGAGCAGACAGCTGCCATATCCATGGTGAACAGCACTTTCCCAAAAGATGAATTCACTATTCACTGACTAATGAGAAGCACAAGGTATTATAAAACACTATCAGAAAAATGGAACAAAAGATGAAAAAAGCAGCTTGAAGTTAAAACTCTTTGAGGACATTTTCCAGGTTTAAACAAGGCTTTTGCTATTATTTTAGTTTATTATTTTAATAATAATTAACCAACTCTAATATCCAAATCTGTTCTAAAATCCAAGTTTGTATAAAAAGTAACAAAAGTTTACTAGGCTATTGATAGAAATAATGGTGTTTGACTAGTGGAAACAAAATTATTTTTTATCTTTAAAGAAAACTGATTATAAAGGTGATGTAGAGAGGGGTTACTATTGCATAAGTGAGGTAATAAGTCTATTTCTTTTTGGACAATGTCATCCCTTTCTTCATTCTCTCCCTGTAACAATGTTATGTTATAGACATGAATACTTAAATATTAAAATAGATATCTCCAATAAACCACTAGAAAACCAGAAGTGGTGCTGTGGTTCAAGTGGTAGAGCGCTCATCTTGAGCTGAAGAGCGCAGGGACAGCACCCAAGCCCAGAGTTCAAGCCCCACGGCCGACAAAACAAACCAAACGAAACAAACAAAAAAAAAAAAAACCACCCCAAATATTTCTTGTAATCAAGAATCTAATATAAAGAATTATGCCAGACATTGTTGGTTTACACCTGTAATCCTAGCTATAAATGAGGCTGAAATCTGAAGATTGTGATTTGAAGCCAGTCCAAGCAGACAAATCTGAGAAACTCTTACTTCTAATTAACCAGCAAAAAGCCAAGAGGAGCTGTGGCTCAAGTGGTAGAGTACCATCTTTGAGTAAAAAAGCCAAACAACAGTATGAGGCCCTAAGTTCAAGCCCTAGTGCGAGCATGCACATGAAAACAAACACACACACACACACACACACACACACACACACACACACACACTGAGATGTTTGGATGACAGATGAAAGGTTAAATTTTCAACTTGGGTATGTGTATACAAAGGATCAGAAAATCAAATCTAGTGACTAGATTTTTTTGAGCTCACCTTAATTTGCTCCATAAGGATGGCATTGGTTGCTTCTGTTTCCCGAAGCAGGCCATTTAAGTGATCTGCACTTTTGGTGGTGGTACTGAGCTTCTGAGCCAATTCTTCTTTGGTAAATTCAGCATGCCACAAAGGAGGCTCTGCAAGATGTTATTTTAAGAATTAATTTTCAAAATCAGATTATAGATTCCAAATAAAGAAAACCATTTAAGCATCTTATTTTGCAATAGTGTATGTCTGCTTTCTTTGCAACATACCTCAATAAAAAGTCTCAAGTTGACTTCAATACAAGACAGAATCTCTGGGGCTGGGAAGGTGGCTCAGTGGTAGAGCACTTGCCTTGCATGCTCGAGGCCTGGGTTCGATTCCTCAGCATCACATAAGCAAAAAGAAAAAAGCCGGAAGTGGCACTGTGGCTCAAGTGGTAGAGCACTAGCCTTGAGCTGAAGAGCTGAGGGACAGCGCCCAGGCCCAGAGTTCAGGCCCCACGACCGGACCACCCCCCCCCCCAAAAAAAAAGACAGAATCTCTGCTGTAATGCCTATTGTTTAATTGAATACAATCCTCTCGAAGTCCCAATGCTGAAAGTTGTTAAGCTTGTATTTTCACACTTTTTCCCCCTTCTTGTGGTGCTAGGGATTGAACTCAAAAACTCAAGCATGCTAGACAAGTTCTCTACCTCTGAGCTATATCTCCAACCCTAGAGCATTTTACTAGTTTCATTATATATCCTCTATTTATCTGTTTCATGAATAAGGTTATTTCTCTTATAAAGGAAACATTAACATTTACATAATACATTCACTTTTATAGACCCTCTTAAATCTTCCATAAATTGGGATAGCTATCATTATTTAGATTTAAGGTTAAAGCCAAGTAATTTTGGTAAAAAAAAAAAAAAATCAGAAACAAGTATGATTCTGGAATTTTCTGTCACTTTATCTCCATGCTGCTAAGTTATCACTATTCACTCTGCTTGTGGTGTCTGTCTCACACTGTCAGTGACTAATGTTATGGTCTGCATCTTAAATGTCTTCAGAAGGCACATATGTGAAGCCTATTGGTGCTGTTGGGAGGTATGGAATCTTTAGGAAGTTGGGTTACTGGGTGTGGTACTCTTGAGGAAGATATTAGGTCCTCTGTCCTTCCTGTCCTGTCTTTGCTTCTGAAAGCCATGAGGCAAGCAGTTTCTCCCACTATCAGCTCCCACTATGTGCTGCCTCCACACAGGCCAAAAGCAACAGGGTCAAGTGACAATGGATTGAAACCTCAGAAACTAAGTCCAAATAAATCTTTCTTCTTTAAGTTGATTTTTCCAGGTATCTTGTCATAGTAATGGAGAAGTAAGTAACAGAATCTTGGCTACGTATGGCGCTTAGTCCAGGTGGTTCTAAAAGTTCAGAAAAATGAGATCTCCCAAATTATGAGTAACATTATAACATTCATTACAGGTAAGAACAAAATATAACAAAACTGTACTACATTTATTACAGCAAGCTTGGCACCATTTCATCACAAGGAATAAAATAAAATGGTAAGTTTCTTGGAAGGCTGAAAAAATACTACTTTCTAATACCACTATAGGTCTTCAAACCATCCATTTCTGGCTCAAGCCTAGGGTAGGGTAGTACTCTTATTTTAAGAAGGATTTGCTTCATTTTTCATTTGAAAAGGTGGTATAATATTGAAATAAACTTTATGGAGCAGCTAAAAAATCCCCACAAAAATGCAGAGAAAGGAAGCTATTTATACAATGTTTATACATACCAAGTTTGGTCTCAGGAGAATTAAGCAGCTGCTCTAAAGACAGTGTGTGTGTGTTAGTGGAAGATACAGATTCGGTGTCAGTGGTCTCCATTCCTTCTCCTTCTTCTCGGGTAGCAGTGTGCACATCTAAAAGTGGGAGGTCTGTGTTTCTCCTTTCTCGAAGGTTCTTCCCAGGCTGATGGGAAGAAGCTGGGCCTGTTAAGTAAAGAATAAATGTAAGATTGTTTAAAAGTGAGGATTCAGTTTTAACAGATACTCAGTAAGTTTTAACAGATACTCAGTAAAATGAAAATGAAACTGGGAATGTCAAATGATAAGAAAATTAAATAGTCAGAAGACTATACAAGAAAACAATGAAAGAAAGAATTGCTAAACCGCTCAAAGCATTTAGTCATACAAATTTGTACCACTCCAGCCACCTCAGCAGAGGCTATCCTTACTAAGTTAACTAAGCTCAACAGCTGGATGACACAAAGCTCTAAACTGTACTACCTAGTTTTTAGTACTTCATAGTAGAGGCCTATATTGTTGTTAAATATTGGAAGAAATTCAAAAGCTGGATCTCAGCTGCTTTTTTTTGGTTAGGTTATTTCCTACCACTACATAACTTCTGATGTAATATACAGGCTGTAGTCTGCTCAGAATACTGTCTCTATCATTGCCTTAAATCTTCACCTTTGCTGCTTCCTGGTACTGCCCATTCACATCTACAGAGTTCAGACATCAAACAGAGAGTGCAATGCAGAAAACCAAATAATACAATTCCTAGGCAAGACTTTCCTTCTTTTTTTTGGTGCTGGTCCTGGGGATTGAACTCAGGGTGCTGTCCCTGAGCTTTGTTGCTTAAGGCTAGCACTACAACTACAGCCACAGTTCTACCTCCAGCATTTTGGTGGTTAACTGGAGATAAGAGACTCACAAACTTCCCTGCACAAGCTGGCTTCAAACCGCGATCCTCAGATCTTATCCTCCTGAATAGCTAAAATTACTGGTGTTAGCCACTGGTGCCCAGGAATGCTTTCCTCTTTGTTGATAACACACATGCACACACAATGATGAAGTTTATAAAATACTTTCCAAATATTTACTAACTTGATAAAAATCTAAAATTCAGAGAAATTTAATGATTTTGTCTAAGGTTTCTTCGTTAAGTTAGGGACCAGAATTCTAACTCAAATTTTTTTTTTTTCGGTTATTGTTGTTTGGTTTTTGGTGGTACTGGGTTTCGAACATCTCACTTGGCTTGCTTGCTTAGCTGGTACTTTTGAGCTATACCTTCTGTTCTTGGTTTTGCTCATTATTTTGGAGACAGTCTCATGGAATTTTCTGCCTGGGCTGGAAAATGATCCATGATCCACTGGATCTCAGCCTCCTGAGTAGCTAGGATTATAGGCATGAGCCACAGGTGTTAGGTTTAATCCAGATTTTTTTTTTTTTTGGTTGGTCTAGGGGCTTGAACTCTGGGCCTGAGCGCTGTCCCTCAGCTCTTCAGCTCAAGGCTAGCATTCTACCACTTAAGCTACAGTGCCACTTCCACTTTTCTGGTGGTTAAGTGGAGATAAGAGTCTCATGGACTTTTCTACCCAGACTAGCTTTGAACCTCAATACTTAGATCTCAGCCTCCTGAAAACTAGGATTACAGGTATGAGCCACTGGCACCCAGCTTAATCCAGATTTTAAACATTTAGAATTTAATTTATTTTCTCTTCCATAAGGTTTTTTCTCTTGTACTTTCAACTCTCAGCTCTTCAGCCCTTTCTGAAGCATTTTCCCAATTTCTTATATTTTGCCAACTACTATTCCAATACTGACTCCTAGATTACATTTTGTAAAATCCATTTATTTTGGCTGGTTGTTCTCTCTTCTGACCTCTTATATATGTTAAGTTTTCTTGAAGTTGTCTTCTGACCTCAACAACATTTTCCAGTGTCACTATGGCTGACACTTTCATATCTCTTCCTAGAATCACAATGGTATATAATAGTAGGTGTTGAAATAAAGCCTCAACTGAATTTGAAGCGAAGAAGCTGTATTGACCAAGCAATTATACAAGTTCAGTGCCACCACAGTGCCCCTTGCTCTATATCTAATTTGTCCAACTAAACGGTAGGTATATCCGGTGGCCAATAGTGAAGAACACCAAGTATAAAGTGGTGAATGCTAGTTAGAATTCATGTCACAAAACTGATGAGTATTAGAGAAAGAAATGATCCTTTACAAGGAGAGTAATAAATTCATGAAAATCAGTATCCTAATTAAATTATATTCAAGTAGTTCAAATATCTTCTTAGTAAATCCAAAATTCATTAATCACAGAACTGGCACTGGTAGCCACTTACATAAGTTGCTGACTCTCTTACAAGAATGTATTCAAGTGACAAAAGGTGAAAACACGAACAAGCAACACTTCCATGAGTACATACATACTTCTTGTGGTTGGTTCACTCTTGAGCTGGAAGAGCTGAGCTTCCACCTTGGAGAGCTGCTGCTGTAGTGTCTCGATTGTCTTTCTATGCTCTTCCTGCAGATGTCGCATTTGATCTCGGAAACTGTTCCGGAGGATCTCATTTTGGGATGTTAGCTGACTCACCGTATGGGCATGCTCAGACTTCATCATCATGTTCTCTGATTGTACTGAACACAACCTGGAGGAGACAAAAACTTAGTTCATATTTAGTTTCCATGTATTTTTCTGACTCAGCCTGTCTCAACTGGGTTCTGTAAGAGAAGCCCTATATCATCCACATGTCTAGACCAACCTCTCTCATCTGCATCTGCAATATATTGGTGGTGTCACAAGACTGATGACTGGTTGCCATCTAGTTTGAATTGTTTTCATGTGCTATACAGTTCAGATGAGGAACCTTGGGACCTTTCTTCATGGTGCAGCAGAGCATATTTAGAGCATAAAATAATTATACTTTTATTCTTTTCATTAGTCAATTTCTTCAGATCATCTTATATGGACAATTATTTTCTGTTACCTTAAAAACATGAAAAAGCCAGGTGCTATAGTCTCACACCTATAATCCTAGCATGAGGCTGAAATCTGAGGATCATGGTTCAAAGCTAGGCAGGGCAGTAAAGTCCATGAAACTCATCTCCAATTAAGCCGAAAGTAGAGTTGTAGCTCAAGGGGTAGAGCACTAGCCCTGAGCAAAAGGCTCCAGGACAGGGTCTAGGCCCTGAGTTCAAACCCTAGGACCAGCACAAAACAAAACAAAACAAAAAAAAAACCCACGAAAATAATACTTTTTCTATAGAAAGCCTTAAAAGTATTTATCTTTGAGTGACAACAGGAATACCTTAAACATAAAGGTTTAGTTTTCTATAGTGCTTTCAAATCTTATTGTACATCAGAACAGTGGGACACCTTGATAAAAAGATAGCCATCTAGTTTCCATACTACAACCTCTTTATCAGATTCTCCAACCTACTTTTTCTAGTTTCCTTTGGGAAACTGACACTAGGCAATATACCTGTAATTTGGGAATCAGTAGTTTTAATGGTGTAGTTTTCAGGTTTTATGTTTGGTTTTGGTTAAAAATGTATTTCCTTTTCACATGAGGAATTTACAGGTATTTTCTCAGACAAAGGCAAAGAATATATAGCCAAAAAGAGAACATACTAAAAGATGTCCTTCACTCACTCTCATGCCTAACAATATAAAACATACTTCCAAGGGGACATAAATACTGTTAATCATAGCCAGTGTAACTTCTGTTCATTGTATATGCACATACCACATGAAGTTTAAAATTAATTTCAGTGGCAGAAGAGAGATAAGCAATAAAAATTCTGACTTTTAGAAAAGGATGAACTTTTTTTTTCCTTTTTCTTTTTTTTTGGTGCCAGTCTTGGGGGCTTGAACTCAGGGCCTGGGTGCTGTTCTTGAGCTTCTTTCTGCACAAGGCTAGTACTCTACCACTTGAGCCACAGCTCCACTTCTGGTTTTGATAGTTTAGATAAGCGTCCCACAAACTTTTCTAGGTGGGCTGGCTTTGAACCTGATCCTTACATCGTAACCTCTTGAGTAGCTAGGATTACAGGGGTGAGCCCCTGGCACTGTGCTAGAAAGGATATCTTAATTGACAAGTTTATATCATCAGCCAGGAGAATGTCAGCATATAGTTTTCCACAACTAATTTTGTTCAAGCATTATCTATGGAGAAGGTGAAAGAAGAATCACAACCACAGGCAGTCACAGTGAGTTCATAAGGAAGACTGGGGATGCAGCTCACTGGCAAAGTACTTAAATAGTATGTGCAAGGCTCTGGGTTCCACCACTGGCATTGAGGAAAAACTTCCAGGATAAGGTGAGGCTAGGGTGAGGGTTTTGTAAGTCTGCTGTATAGTCCAGTTCTTTCGGGTGTATGCTTGTGTGTATGTGTGTGTAGAGGGGAGAAAGGGGATTAGCCAAGTCTCTTGGTAGTATAGATATGAACTCATGGGCCTAATAAACATATTCCTTTTTTTTTTTTGCCAGTCCTGGGGCTTGAACTCAGGGCATGGGCACTGACCCTAAGCCTTTTTGTGCTTAAGGCTAGCACTCTAGCACTTGAGCCACAGCACCACTTCTGGCCTTCTCTGAGTAGGTTATTGGAGATGAGAGTCTCATGGACTTTTCTGCCCAGGCTGGCTATGAATCATGACCCTCAGATCTCAGCCTCCTGAGTAGCTACGATTACAAGTGTTAGCCACTGATGACTGGCTAAGTACATTCCTTTGGAGTTATTTTCATAGTATTACACAGAAAATGTGTGAATATTTGAATATTATAGAAGATAGTAACTATAAAGAAAAGGCTACTTCTTAGAGGGGCACAGACAGTGGTATTTCTACTAGGTTTTACTTCTTATGAAGAAGTAAAAAAGGGCCCTAAAAGCTCAAAGTGCTGCAGTCTTGAACTCTTTTGAGTATCTACCTTTAACTGGGTACTGGGGGCTCACATTTGCAATCCTAGCTATCAAAGAGTCTGAGACCTGGAGGATCATGGTTCAAAGTCAGCCCAGGCAGGCCATATCCAATTAACTAGCAAAAAGTTGGGCTGGATGTGTGTCAAGCAGTAGAGCATCAGCTGTGAACAAGCAAGTTGAGAGTCTCCAAGCTCTGAGTTCAAACCCTGTTACTGACAAAACAAACAGAAATGGCTACTTATTTGTGAATCTGCATTTATCCCAAGAAGCATCTCAGTGTGAGTGCTGCTGGCAGCCTTACTTTTCCCGCAGCTCCGCCTCTTTGCTCACAGTTTCCTGCAGCATCCTGTTGTGCCTCTCCAGTAGAGTATCATGCTCAGACTGCAATGTCTGAAGTTCACAAACATTCATCTGTAAGCTATTCTGACTATCTTGTAGTTTGATTTTCAATTGGTCAATCAGCAAGTCCAGCTGTTCCCTAAAACAGAAATAAACAGTTGTAAAATAATCTTTGAAAATAAGTGATCCTCATTTGGGGGTTTATAATGTATTTTAATTGTTTACTTGTCATGCTCTTGCGATCTGGAATTATTCTAAAAGCAATATAAAAGTCGTAAGAATTCACAGTCAGATTTTAAATCTCAAGCTGATTTTTTTTTTGAAGAATGAATTTTAATATATCCTATTATAATGGAACAGAGCATTACATAGCATCAGAATAGCCTATTTGAGATTGGGCATTAGGTAAGAAAAACAAACAAAAGAACAAAAACAAACTTCATATAGGTCTAACTTAACTGTTAAAAGATTGAGGAATTAGACCAATGTGTAGTCAAAGACTGCAAAAAGAAAAGCAATAGGTATTAACTCAGAATACCATATGGATAGAAAATAGAGGCTGCAATTTGTACTTATTCAGTGTATTAATATTCAACCTCAGCTTTATGATGCTTCTCATCATGCTTCTTCAGTCTGTATTTTCACTAGATTCTTAAACAGGAAGGAATATAAACATAAATATACAAACACCCACAAGATCATCAGTCCTACCCAAAACTATATGACCAGGTATCAAGCAGATTAAAGAGCTCTGAATACCAAACTTCTGGTATAAAACAAAGCCAGTGAATGCCCTACCTATACCAGTATATTTCTGAGTAATTTAAAAACTTTTCTGTAAATCTGCTAGTTTCAAAGAAGCATTAAGCACTATTCAAATATAATTGATATGGCTATAAGTTTAAGAAAAATTAATTTACACCTTTTTTTTTTTTTTTGGTTGGTCATGGGGCTTGAACTCTGGGCTTGGGTGCTGTTCTTGCACTCTTCAGCTCAAGGCAAGTGCGCTATTGCTTGAGCCACAGTGCCACTTCCGGTTTTCTAGTGGCTTATTGGAGATAAGAGTCTCACGGACTTTCCTGCCTGGGCTGGCTTTGAACCGCGATCCTCAGATCTCAGCCTCTTGAGTAGCAAGGATTACAGGTGTGAGCCACTGGTGCCCGGCTTAATTTACAGCTTCTTAAAGTAAGTAAAATATTGGTAATCAACTTCTAGTTAACCTAATGGGTGATAAAATATATTGAGATAACAATCATTTTTTGCTTCTAAATTTTCAAAAACCATAATGTAATATTAATGTCCAAATTTTTACTATGAACAGAACCTATTAAGGCAAGATTGAACTTTTAGTGTATATCTCAGCAACCACATTCTGGCTTCACTGATTTCTTTAACAACTTCTGGAGTCTGCAACAGTGACTTCACAGTTTAGTTTCCCTGAGTGAAGCCAAGAACCTCTTTGCACACTCCTATAATGAAGCCTAAAATCTCACAGTCAAAAAGTCGAGAGGATTTTCAATCTACTTGATTAATTACCTGTATAAATAGTGAAAACCCTGAATATTTGGTATTTCTTTTACTTAACTTTACCTTTCTTGTTTAGCTTCCTCAGTTTCAGCCTGAGACACAGATTTATTTTTCTGTTTGAGAACGTTATGAACTCGGACTTTGTAGCTCTCAAATTCAGAAGTTATAGCAGCTTGTTCTGCCTATAACATTTAAGAAAAGAGAAAAAAATATTATTCTTATTTTCTTTTTAAATGTTTTTTTATTGTACAAATACTGTACAGAGGGGTTACAATTACATGAGTAAGGTAATGAATACATTTTTTTTTTTTTTTGCCAGTCATGGGGCCTGAACTCTGGGCCTGGGAGCTGTCCCTCAGCTCTTCAGCTCAAGGCTAGCGCTCTACCACTGAAGCCACAGAACCACTTCAAGCTTTTTCTGATTATGTGGTGCTGAGGAATTGAACCCAGGGCCTCATGCATGCGAGGCAAGCACTCTACCACTGAGCCACCTTCCCAGCCCAATGAATACATTTTTTATGGAGCATTGTTGCCTCCTTCTTTGTTTTTCCCCTACCATTCCTTCCTTCCCCACAACCCCACTCTCCCTAGCTGTAAAGTTCGTTTTGTGTCTTGTACATCTCATTGTTACAATGGGTCAACCTGTATCCCTATTTAAGCATTTTGTTTTTTCTTTCCCCTCTCCAGATTAAAAAATGTATATACAAGATGCAGGGTACCGGAATCAAATTTTTTTTTTTTTGGGTCCAGTCGTGGGGCCTGAACTCTGGGCCTGGGCGCTATCCCTCAGCTCTTCAGCTCAAGGCTAGCACTCTACCACTTGAGCCACAGTACCACTTCTGGCTTTTTTCTTTTTGCTTATGTGGTGCTGAGGAATTGAACCCAGGGCCTCAGGCGTGCAAGGCAAGCGCTTTACCACTGAGCCACCTTACCAGCCCCTGGAATCAAATACAGTGAAAACAGAGATTATACTGTGGGGGAGGAACATACCAAAGAAACAAAAAAAATCACATTCACATTATAAATACTTTAAAAACAATAGTAAGCAAGAAAAAAAAATATTTGTGACCCGATAGGGCTCATTTCCCTTAATATCATCTTATATGGTCATATGTATATAGCTTTTGACCTTTTCTGCTTGTCCTAAACTTATACTAGTTATTGCAAATAAAGGAAATGGTGGGACTTATGTTTCTTTGGACCTGGCTTACTTCACTTAATATAATTTTTTCCAAGTCTTTCCATTTCCTAACAAATGGGACAATGTCATTCTTTCTGATGGAGGCATAGAATTCCATTGTATAATATTCTTATTTTCTTTCAGAAGTTAAAGTGAAATATGATTTTGAAAATCAAGAAAATAGCTGATGTTCATTTGAGTGCTGGTTTAACTTCACTATGAAATACAGTTCTATTGGCTTACTTTTGTACAGCCTAAGTTTGTCTAATAAAATGTTCTGCTATCTTAGCAGAATAATTTGCTACTCATTAATTTTACAATGGTACCTTTTGCTTCTGAAACTGAACAAATATTTTTCACTTATGATCTACTATTAAAATTCAATGAAAATTTCAAAGACATTACCTTACTTGACTTTAGTTTCAAAACAGAGTAGTAATAGTTTAATTCTAGGCCTCCTACTTGCCTGAAGATATCTATAAACTCCATATCAATTTTGCCAAGATAGTACCTACCAAACCACTGTCCTATCCATTTTGCTTATTGGAGACAAGGAAGTAGGCGCCAATGGTCATTCTGTTAGAATGTTATTTTAAAATTTAGTCCTCAGAAAAAGCTATGTTGCCTTTCTATTTTTTTATTTGAATAACAACTGTTTAATTCACTCATTACATGGAAAAACTTGGTAGGATATTTGGGTAATGACCTTCAATTATATTATATAACTTTGTGCATATAAATGAATTTGGACCCAATACAATTTAAAACAGAAATTAAAAAACAATTAAGTCCGCTTCAGGAGTCTCCACAACATAAAAGCATTTCAAGACTATACCAATAAACATACAGACCTGTGCAGCAATTATTTATTTCTAAGATGCATACTGCTCAGAAAAGGAGTGGAGAACTTCAAAGCATCTTATTTTGTTTACTACAACAGTTCAGATAAATCATACTTTCAATTGGATGTGCAGTAGATAGCAATGCTTTAACAAGTCCCAAACTATACAGATTGTAAAAAACCTACATGTAGTTATTGTTGCAGTAAGCTGCCAACATGAGTAACATGGGCAAACTGATGATCACTTCTTTTAATTCTAAAGCTTTTAACAACTTTTAATCACCCTAATATAAAATTTTTCATACATGTATTACATATTTATGTATGAAATTTCACCTTTGCTGGATGACACAGGGTCATCAAAATAGACAATTACCAGAAGATGATATAATATACTACAGTTCTGTAGGTTAGGCTGCGTCCTTACACTACATGGTCTTGGAAACTGTGTGTCTTTGTAGTCTTTCAGTCTCCTTTTTTTAAATTAAGCTACACTTCTCCACTACTAGCAGGTTACAGAACAGGAAATCAAACCATCAAAAATTAAAACTTCAAAAAATAAAAACAATGCATAAGCTCTAACATATACTTTATGAGTATGAATGCCTACTATCTTGTAATAGAATGCCATGGTCAGAGCCTGCAGTGCTGAAGGACTCACCTTGGCAGCTCGACTTTCCTCTTGTAGTGCTGTCACCTTCTGCTGGTACACATTCAGTGTGCGCTGATGCTGCTCTGCTGAGGTCTTCAGATGCTCGTGGATTTTGTGTTTCTCAGATGTTATTTCAGCAAGTTGAATCTGGGGGCAAAAATCTTTAAGTTTAGTTCTAGAAATTAAATTTTTCACTAACTAAAACCATTTTAAAACAAAACAAAACATGAACTTGAGATTGTGAGGTATTATATTTAAATAAGTAGAGACAAACTGGGTGCCAGTGGCTCATGCCTCTAATCCTAGGTACTCAGGAGGCTGAGATCTGAGGATCTCGGTTCAAAGCCAGCCCAGGCAGGAACATCCGTGAGACTCTTTTCTCCAATAAACCACCAGAAAACAGGAAGTGGCACTGTGGCTCAAGTGGTAGAGTGCTAGCCTCGAGCTAAAGAGCTGAGGGACAGTGCTCGGGCCCAGAGTTTAAGCCCCATGACAAAAAAAAAAAAAAAGTTGAGACAATATAAGTAGACTATAAGAACTTGCTTATTCACTACAGGAAGTAGATTTGTGCTTTTTTTTCTTTTGTTTCCTTTTTTTGGGGCCAGTAAGGGGGCTTGAACTCAAGGCCTTACAATCTCACTTGGCTTATGTGGTGCTGGGGAATCGAACCCAGGGCCTCATGCATGCAAGGCAAGTGCTCTACCACTGAGCCACCTTCCCATCCCAGCTGAAGGAATCTTAAAAAAAAAAATTATCCACATTTTTATTGGCATCAATTACACAAAAATTTTGACATATCCAACTATTCATATAATGTATCACTCTCCCTCTTGTTCCCCCTTAAATCTTAGTAAATACAAATAAATATCTTACTTTATAGACTTCTACTTGCTGTTGGCTTGCCTCCAGCTCACCCTTTAATGATGCTTGAAGTATTAAATGATCAGTTTCCTACAGAAGGAAAATCTTGGTTAAATTAAAAAATAAAGTTGTTTATAAACTATGAATAAGCACTAAAATATGAAACAGAAATTAACATACTGCTTGCTTTGAATCCGCCAGTTCCTTTTTGGTTTTCACAAGCAGCTGTTTGATTTTGGTGTTTTTTTCTTCATATTGCTGCAGTGAGGAATGTAGGGAAGCTAGTACAAGAAGTAAGTTCAGCAGAAAGAGATGAAATAGTTTTTATGGGTGAAAATAATGCATGAATGACAAGGCTTCTCTTTGTATTAACTCAAGCTTTAAAAGAAACCTATTTTAGATTTCTATTATGAAATTATATTACCAACATATTTGCCAGTAGTGGTAACTATACAATGAATTCCACTATGTCCAGTCCCCAGGTTGGCAATTACTCATACACAGTCAATCTTACTATACTTAGACTAGGAGTCAGCAAAGTGGAGCACACAGGTTGTTTTTGTGAATAGTTTTAACAAACATGCTAGTTCATTAAATCATATGCATTCAATTGTGCCACAATAGTGACATGAGCAATCACAATACAGGCTGTATGGTCTATAAAACCTAAGATGTTTACTATTACATCTGTATGGAAAATCTTCATCAATCTCTTCCTTCTATCTCATCTACTCTGAGTTCCCACTGGATTATCTGGAAGCAAATCCATTCATCAATAAAGATACTAGCATATATACTTGAAATAAATACATGGCTGTTTAAAAGATAAGGACATTACTTTTAAAAGTCCCCCAAGTTAGGCAGCTGTGGCTCATGACTGTAATTCTGACTACTCAGAAAAGTCTTTTTTCTAAGTAACAAGTAAAAAGCTAGAAGGGTGAGATGTGGCTCAAGTGGTAGAGTGCCAGTATCAGAAAAAAAAAGATTTGTATTTATAACCACAGCATATCTGAGGCATATACCTGGTTATCTGTTTTTGCAACAGTAACTCATATATAAACTTTTTGTGGGAGTGATTTTCAGTGAAACAGAACTCAACAAGGAAAAAATGAAAATGTACTAAACAAAAACTCTTACCAACAAATATCAATATGGGTAAGTGGAACCATTGTTTAGGCTACACAGACACCTGCAACCAGCAGGCCAAATCTGCCAAAACTTGATATAAGAGTAGATGGCAAGACTAAAAACACCATCCCCAGCCTCTTCTGTTGAGATGGAGTCTCTCAGCCTTTTTTGTCGAACTTTTTTTTGGCAGACTTTTGTCTCAGCCTCCAATGTGGCTATTATGTCAAGTATACATCACCATGACCAGAAATTGGTTGAAAAGGGGTCTCTTGAACTTTTCTGCCTGGCTAAAAGGAATGGAAATCCTCTTGATCTCAGCCTGCTACATAACTGGAATGATAGGCATGTGCCAGCATGGTATGTGATTAGGTGAAAAGGCATCTCTCCAGTATGTCTGGGCTCACCTACCATTAGATCCTTTGGCTCTCAATCTCTCAAACAGCTACAGGTGTGTTGAGCGACTGGCACCTGGTTTAGAAACATCTTTAAATGCTTCACTTACATTTATATTTGCTAATCAGCAAACTGTGGAGAAAGACCTTGTCAAATTTGTTTTTGTCTTTGTATTAAACGTATAGCAAGTATTTAAGAAATGTTTAAGTGAGGAATCCCATCAGGCTAGCACCCACATGGCAAATGATTTTATATTCCTTCTGGTCCTTATGTTTAGCATTGTGTTAGAAACATATGGTAAGGGACTTGTGAGATAAATACTGCCCTCTCAACCTATTATGATGAAATAATTAGAAAGTAAAGTAGATTTGTTTTTACTTACTCATTTCTTCTTGTAAAGTTTCTTGTTTTTGTTTTTGAATTTTTATTTCTTGTTCCAAATCCTCTATTTGGCTGGTTTTGTTCGTTAACTTTTGATTTAGTTCTTTCATCAAACGTTCATAATCTGCTATTTCCATATTCATGAGTGTAGTTTGTTGAGCATCCTGCACATTTTATAGAAGATTACACATTACTAGGTTAGTGTCATTTGTAAAGTTGCTAAAATGGTGCTACAGAAAACAAGTAATTTCAGGTTCTCTATAACATACTAATATTGTAAACAGTAATGAAGAAAGGAGAAATACTTTCTAGTTTTTAATTTCATAAAGTTGTTTTCTAATAGTTCAACTCAACTTTCTTAGTGTCATTCTATTTGATTGTAACTTTCTTTAACTATAAGAGTTCTAGTTTTATGGGGATCTTAAAAAGACAGGTACTTGGACCCACCGGACCCGCTCCAGGGACGGTGCCGCCAAGGCCTCGGCCCAGAGTTGTGCCTGCTGCTCAGCACTTCTGATTCTCTTCTGCAAGTTTAGAACGGGATATCCGTGCCCAGACTTGAGTCAGCCATGTTCACGACCCCGCTACCCAGACCTTGGAGGCCACCCTTCCCCGCGAGCACCAGGGCGGGCTCCGCGCCCCGGTGCCGCCGGTGTGCAAGCAAGAGCACGTTGGCGTGGGGCTTTATTGACTACAGGTCCATGCAGCCTGCGGGAGCAGAGGCTTTTCAGCGAAATGGCTTCTCCTTGGGTCGGTAGATGCGGCTTGGTCGCACAGATCGGCTCACCGGGAATGCAGACCCAGAAGTGAGGAAATGCAGGGCCCAATCACCATGGAGACCAGAACCCGCAGGCGTTACCATTGAACGGAATCCCTGGGCTTCAGGAACTGGTGTTGGAGGAGATGCACAAAAGCCCCACCGGGGCCTCAGTCTCGGCGCTGGCCAGAGTTATTATGTATAGCCAGCTTGTTATTCATGCAGCATTTATACCACCGATTGAAGTTTGGAAACATTGTAAGGTAATTTTTAATGTGATTCTGTGTTTCAGAGCAAATCTAAGCTTTTGTGGTGGTGGTGGTGGTGCAATATAACTTCCTGGTAGATTTAAGTTTGGGATATATAGGAAATAAAAATTCAGGTTGCCTAGTGCCGGGTCAGATAGTACATTTTGTCATTCTTCATGCTCACAAATGGATTTGTTTGTGGACAGGCACATTAAAGGGTACAGGTTAAAATATGTATTTTTAATAAGTCTGCATGGATTATGTAGAACATCAAAGCTGTTTTTAAAAGAGATTCATGGATGTAAAAAAATAAAAAAAAAGATAGGTACTTAAGAGGAATAAGTTAAAATTTCAATTAATAAACTGAAAAGTGTATATTAGTATCACAAGAATATATCAAACTATTCCTTTTTTGTGTATTTAATAACATGAATAATGACTAAGTTTTGGCTCTTCAGCTCAAGGCTAGTGCTCTACCACTTGAGCCACAGTGCCACTTCCAGCTTTTTTCCTTTTGCTTATGTGGTGCTGAGGAATCGAACCCAGGGCATCAGGCATGCAAGGCAAGCACTCTACCAGCGAGCCACCTTCCCAGCCCCGTGGCTCTGGAGTCTTATATTACCTTTTTGACCAGCTCTAATTCTTGCATGGTTTTCTGAAGTTGTCTCTTTTCCTTTTGAAATTGTAGCTGAAGTTCTTCAAGTTCCTTTACAGTATTGGTATGTTCCTAAAATTAAAAATAAAACCAATTCAACCAACATTTTAAAAAAATGGCATTTGTTAAGGGCTTTAAATTTGACACAAAAAAACAAAAAGTCTGGTAATCTTTTAACATTTAAAAAAATATACACATTCAAAATCAGTCTGTATATATTAAGGAATGAATGAACTCTATTATACTCAGTGTTCATTCCTTTACTAGTATTTTCTTCATTCAGTAATATTTTGATAAAAATCTCCATATAATATATACGTAAATCAGTAAGTTTTTTTTTTACCTTAATCCTCTGCTCTTTGTGAAGTTTTTCAGTTTCCAATTCTTTATCTACCATTGCTTTAGTTCTCTGGAGTTCTAAAATCTGTACTTCTAATAACTTGGCATTAGACTGTAGTGTCTCAATACGGGCCTGGAGATCTTCATTATCTGAACTCAATTTTTCACACTGAAATGATAAATATGTGGAAAATATGCAAAGAAAGACTAAATGTTTACTGAGAATACTAGCATAGTATAAAAATTTTAAGATTTTAGCTGGGCACCAGTGGCTATACCTGTAAATCGTAGCTACTCAGAGGCTGGGATCTGAGGATTGTGGTTCAAAGACAACCTGGGCAGCAAAGTCCATGTGACTCTTATCTCCAATAAACTACTCAAAAAAAGCCAGAAGTGGTGCTATGGGGCTCAAAAGGTAGAATGCTAGTCTTGAGCAAAAGGAACTCAGTGACAATGCCCAGGCCCAGAATTCAAACCCCAGGACTGGTCAAAAATTTTTTTTAAGATTTCAAAATTAAAAAAAAAAAATGGGCAAAGAATCTGAACAGATACCTCACTGAAGATATACAGATGGCAAATAAGCATATGAAAATATGTTCAACATTATATATCAATATGAAACTGCAAATTAAAACAACAATAAGATGCCACTACACATATTTTTAAATGTACAAGGATTTGTTTTAATCAGATATGTTAGGATATGCAGACATCAAAATGACTATCATAAAAAAGTCATTTTTATTCTCACAGATCTCTAGAAACCACAGACACAAGGCTTGTTCCACAGAACAAAACTGGGGGGGGGCGGAGAGGGGGTGGCTGGCAGGGTCAATCAAGAGAAAGAGGAAGCAAAGTGACTATGTGCAAAACCTTTTTTGTAGCTTTCATACAACAAAGGGACAAGATGAGCAACATTAAAATTGGCTTGTTTGGATAGTAGGGGAAAAACAAAGGAAGGGGTAACAACGCTCAATAGGAAACATATTCATTTCCTTACTCAGGTAACTGTATCTCTTCTGTATGGTAACTTTACAATAAATATATATATTAAAATATATAAAAAAAAAGATTTCAAAATCAAGTCCATGTAATGACAATGTTAATGGGGGGGGGAAGTGGGGTGGGAGATGGGAAGGAATGGGAAGGGGAAACAAAGGAGGAGGCAACAATGCTTGATAAGAAATGTACTCATTATCTTGCCCATGTAATTGTAACCCCTCTATATGGCATTTTCACAATTAAAAAAAAAAAAGAATAAGTTTTACAAGCTACCACTGTTAACAAGATAGTTATTTAGCTATTTTGTCAATAGCCTTCTAATACAGGAGAAAAAAAGAAATTATCTGACTGCATTTAAATTATTTACACAAATATATACTGAGATTAAAATTTATCGCAATTTTCATGTCTGAATTGACTTAAAATTACCTGGAAAGTTGAATTTCTTAATTGTTTGGTAAGGTCTTCGATGTGATGCTCAAAATTGTTAGCACGTTCTTTTTCCATATCCAACTGCTCTGATTGCTTATCATATTCTAGTAAAAGATTCTTCAAAGAAAGACAAAAAATTTAACACTAGGTTATTATGCATTCAGTAGGTCAGACTGTATAATCAAGCTATCCTGATATAAGACTTACTGAATCCATTTGGGATGCTTAAAATATTTAACATGAAAATATAGCAATAAAAATATAAATGTAAATTTAAATATAAAAATATGAGAAAGGATTAATATTACTTTATTAAAAGTTTATAAATCTATTTTTAAAAACATTTGAATCAGATTACATCTGTAACATGAGCTTCTTTGCAGGCAGAGATCAGGAGGATTACAGTGTGAAGCTATCTTAGGCAAAAAAGTTCTTGAGACTGCATCTCAAAACCAAAAAAGCGAAGCACAGTGGCATGTGCTTGTTATTGGAAGTGTAAATAGGAAGGTCACAGTATAGGTTAATCTGGGTAAAAAGTGTAACTTCTCTCTCTCTCTTTTTTTTTAAGGAAAAAAACCCCAAAAAGCTGGGGGTATGACTCATATGATAGAGTGCCTACCTGGCAAGCACAAGGCCCTGAATTCAAATTCCAATACTGACAAAACACCACCAACAAAAATAGTTATTTAACATTTATATAGATGCTTATTCATGAATCAGTTTGCATGAGAAGCTGTATCTCCATGTCTTTTTTTTTTTTTTGTTGCCAGTATAAGCCACCAGTGCATGGCTAGTCTATATTACTGAAAAGATCCTATAATCTAACATAGTAGTTTCTTTTTTCTTGCCAATCTTGGGGCTTGAACTCAAGGGCCTGAGGACTGTCCCTGAACTTCTTTTACAAGTTAATCTACCACTCTACACTACCACTACCTCAGTACCAGTACCACTGGTACTGAGGAATTGAACCCAAGGCTTCATGCATGCTAGGCATGTAATCTACCACTAAGCTACATTCCCAGCCCTTAACGTGGTAGTTTCTTTCAAATATAGATCAGGTATACTAACTTTATATAGTTTAATCTTTCTCTTTGTAATTTCTTAAATTGCTTTGAAATTTCAGAAACGCCTTTTTGTAAAGAACTCAATAAGTGACCAATTATTATGAGACTTTTTAAAAATTTACAGAATATATGATTCCTTTTTATACCCAAACCCATGTAGATAAGCTCTTACTTATTCTACATTAACAATTTTTGTTGTTATTGTTGTTTGTCATGAGGCTTCAACTCTGGGCCTAGGTGCTGTCCCTGACCTCTTCAGCTCAAGGTGAGCGCTCTACCACTTGAACCAGTGTCACTTCCAGTTTTCTGGTGGTTAATTGGAGAGAAGACTCTCATGGACTTTCCTGCACTGGCTGGCTTTGAACTGTGATCCTCAGATCTCAGCCTCCTGAATAGCTAGGATTATAGGTGTGAGCCACTGGTGCCAGGCTTATATTAACATTTTTTTTTTTTCCCTGACGAAATCCCATCCAGATTTTAGTCTGTTCAGTGTCAAGATTTTTCTCATATAGTTTTTAATTCCTTTTCCAGTGACTTTTGTTTTTGATCCTCCTTGGGTAAGTATAGATTGTTGGCTAACTATCAATGTGCAACACTGGAAAAGTCCTAGCTCTGTTATATTACTGATCTTGAAGTCAATTAAGAATTTTTAAATAACCTTGAGTCAGATATCTCACTTGTAAACTGGTGATGCCAATTACTGTGATCCTCAGATCTTAGCCTCCAAAGAGGCCAGGATTACAGGTGTGAGCCACCAGCAGCCAGCCCCCTTTTTATTTCTGACTTTTATTAGTAAAGTTCTTAAATAGAATTTTACTTTTAAAAAATACTTTAAAGGTTACCTACTTTAAAATCTTGGAATCAGGATTCTAGAGCTACACTGTATAAAAACTAGGAAAAAAATGCCAGGTGTGAGAAGCCTCATTCCTGTAATCATAGCTACTTAGGAGGCTGAGATCTGAGGATCTTGGTTTGAAGCCAGCCTGAGGAGGAAAGTCCATGAGACTCTTATCTCCAATATTATCCATAGAAAACCCAGAAGTGGAGCTATGGCTCAAGTAGTAGCTTTGTGCAAAAAAGTTTAGGGACAGAGCCTAGGCCTTCTGGTTCAAGTCCCAGGACTGTGGTTAAAAACAAGGAAACAAATGAAAAACCTAGGGCAAAAAGATTCATGAACAAAACCAAAGTATTTGTTTTCTGAACAAGAATATACAATTCTCATTAGTTATGAATACAATTTGTAATACACCTAACATTTACCTTATAGCTTTCTGCCCCTTGAATGAGATCTCTCATGGAAGCAGACAACTGATCCTTCTCTGAACGTACAGATTCAATTTCTTCCTTTAGAGTCTGGGCCTGTTTTCAAAACACAGTAAAGTTAAGAGTTTTTCATGGACAGAAAATCTGGAATGTCTAAAATCTAAGATCCCTAACTCTTGTATTTTTAGGTCAGCTTACCTCTTTTCTGCTAGAATCAAGCTCTTTCTTTGCTTTCATAGCAACTAGTTTTAGCTTACTTATTTTCTCCTCTTTCTCTTTGGATTCTTTTTCCAGATTTCCTAAAAACAGAAATGAAAGGACTATATCTATGACATCAAAAAGAAAAATATTCAAGTTACGTATTTTTTTATGCTAGACCTTTTTATCCAAGGAACACAAAACTTACAGTATGAAATTAAGCTAAGTAGCAAAAACTATCTTTTTAAGTGAAGGCTTAATTACTTAGGATCTTATTGAGGTGTTTAATGTCAAACTTTGCCATTTTCTTAAGTCATTTAAACATGTCTAGAAATTGGAATTGTTCAGGCTTTTTAATGTGTTTTCCCAAAAATTCAGCTCTGCTAGGAACTTAGGTGGTGGTTTCTAAATCAGGATCAAGTACAGAAGATAGATACTGGATGCAGGTGAACAGTTATGTATTCTCTAGGTTGATGGACCTGATATTTACAACTGTAATATGTTTGAATGATCCAACCTTTATTTCTCCCATTAATCTCTTTGGTTATCTCTACTTAAACTCCAGGGTTGATGACTTAATTTTGTGTTATTTTCTGGAGTTATGATCTGAATTTCTGTTCCTATCTATAATGTGTATTTTCCGGGTGCCACAGTAAACTGTATAGCGAAGGCCACCTGCCTCACTTCTCCATTTTCCTGAATGCCTCCTCATCTACTCAAGCATCAGAGTAGCTACTTCCCCATTCTAATGGACTTTTCTCCAACTGTTTATCAACAAGAATAAATAACACCAAGAAATGAAGGCTAACTACAAACGGTGGAAGCAGCTGAAGGCCCAAAATGGAGAGATCACCATAGGATTGATCAGATACCCCAAACATGATCTTACTTTTCCATAAAAATAAGCCACACCATTCTTAAGTCCAAAACCCTTCAAAAAGGTATGTTACATGCGCTCAAGGTTCTTTTCCCTATATTTTTCTTTCCTAAAACCCATAATATTAGGGAATTGTCACCTATGTTTCCAAACCTGATAGAAAGGTCTCAGCACTTATCTTACTTATTGGAAACAATCAGTGGCACTTGCCTTGGCTAAATATTGTTCTACTTCTTTCACTTCAAATGTACTTGTGGAAACTTTCAAGGCATTTACTGTTCCAGGTTTCAGTATCTTGATGTCTGTTCCTTCTCAATCTCCCTTGTTTCTATCATTCAAAGACAAGGAACAACCTGTCTATGGTCCTCATTTTTTTCTGTACTGCCTTGATTTTCAATCATGTCATTTTTATTTTATTTTTTTATTGTTTAATCATGTCATTTTTAATGCAAGTTACACATTTTAATCTCTAGCCTAGGTATTTCATTAACTCCAGATTTATATAGCATTCTATATAACATCTCCATTTGAACTAGTATTTATACTTTTATAACACAGAGCATCCCTTTCTACCCTAATCACTCATTTTAAAAAACTGAGAATTATTCTAAACTCTTTCAACTGACCATTAGATTTAGGTACTACAGAACATTATACAAAATTTTTAAGTCTCTATTTCTTTAACTCCCTTCCCCACCCCCCATCTGTCATGGGGCTTGAACTTAGGGCCTAGGCACTGGTCCCTGAGCTCTTCTGCTTAAGACTAGTACTCTACCACTTGAAACACAGCTCCACTTCCAGTTTTCTGGTGTGTAACTGGAAATGAGTTGCATGGGCTTTCCTGTCCAGGCTAACTGTGATTATCAGATTTTAAGTCTTCTGAGTAGCTAGGATTATTGGCATGAGCCACCAGTGCCTAGACATTTCTTCAACTTTAACTGGGATAAATGCCTACTGCAAAGAATAAAGTGTGAAGTCTCAACTCTTCCTCATATCCTGAGAACTTCCTATTCTTGAGATTATAGATGTGAGACACCCACTGTTCCTTTCTTCTGTAACACATTCCTTATTTGAAACCCAACTGAAGAACTTGCTCTGTGATGGTCTTCTTCAAAGCAGGCAACTTCCTATGCTATCAGCACTATATGGAATCTACACTCCAGCTACTGCACTTTCAGCCTCTTAGCAGTGAGCTTCTCTATCTTGTTTACTTTTTTATTACCAGTGTGTAGAACAGTTGAACACTCAAATAATGTCTGTTAAATGGATGAAAGATCCAAAACGATCATGGAAGCATTTAAAAATGGAGTCATACACACTAGTGCTTAAGGGGAATAGGGATGAGAGGAGAATAAAACAGCAGTATTTTCTCTATCTTTAAAAATTAATTGGCTACTGTATTCCCAATTTATTCTACTATTAGCAAGCTTATTTAAGCTGATAATACCTGTAAAGCCATAATTACCTATTTTTTCTTCCAGCTCTTTTAATGAAGACAGTTGATCATTTTTTACGTGTGATTTCTCTAAGGAATCCTAGATTTTGAAGGGGAAAATAAACACAAAAACCAGAATTCATTATCAGTCCTTGCAATCAACTGGCCATCACTATAGGATGAGAAAATTATTGCCAATGAGAAATCATGTAAAAACTAGTTTCCTTGTCTTCCTTCGGTTGATAGAGGAGGTAGCAGTAACATCATCATGTGTATGGCATTTATTATTTAAAAAAACAGTACCAATGGGGCTGGGAAGGTGGCTCAGTGGTAGAGCGCTTGCCTTGCATGCCTGAGGCCCTGGGTTCGATTCCTCAGCACCATATAAGCAAAAAGAAAAAAGCCAGAAGTGGCGCTGTGGCTAAAGTGGTAGACCACTAGCCTTGAGCTGAAGAGCTGAGGGACAGTGCCCAGGCCCAGAGTTCAGGCCCCATAGCCGGACCCAAAAACAAAAACAAAAACAGTACCAAAGGGCAAGATGAGCAACATGATACACCTCAACGACATGTAGAATAAAGTGATAATAAAATGTCATACTTCTACATCACTTTAAAAAATACCTTAAAACTGTACCAAAATTGAAATAGCACTATAGTTTCTTATTCAACTGTTCCCTAAGATACAACAAAGCCAAACATGATGGCTTCCTACCAATAATCCCAGCTACTTGTTAAGTAGAGATAAGAAAAATCCATGGTTCACTGTCTCAATAATAAATTAACTTGCCATGGTAGTGTACACCATATGCACTATTATACCTGTAACTGCCAGCTATGCAGAAGACATAAGTTAGGAAGATGGCAGTCTGAGGCCAATATAATAAATACCCTATCAGAAAAATAATTATGCTAGGTACCATCCATTCATTCTTGCAGTCCTAGCTACTTCCAAAGCTGAGATATTGAGAATGACAGTTTGAAATCGTACCAGTAGAGTCCTTGAGACTGTCTCCAAAATAACAAGCAAAAGCCAGACTTAAGAGTCATGGCTCAAGAAGTAGAGTACGAGTCAAGCAAGCAAAAAGAGTGAGAGACCTTGAATTCAAGGCCTGGTACTGACAAAAAAATAACTGGAGGCATGGCTCAAATTATAGATCACTGCTTAGCAAGTGTGAAGCCCTGAGTTCAAATTCAGGCACTATATATCACAGAAAAATTAAACTCAGTTTTTCATTAGTTCAGTTTTTGGTAGATTAATTATAAAAGTTTGACCAAACCATTTAATTTCCCAATCATTTAATCTTATTTAAGTGCAAGATTTTAAAATAAATTATGTATGCTACAAAAAAGGCCAATGTGATTAATATAGTATACACAGCAAAAATTTTAACATATTTGTTAGAAATCTGCCACTAAGCAGAGCTCACGCCTGTAATCCTAGCTACTCAGAAAGCTGAGATCTGAGGATTGAGGTTTTAAGTCAGGCCATGCAGGAACCTCCATGAGACTCTTATCCCCAATTAACTACCAGAAAACCAGAAGTGGCACTGTGGCTCAGTGGTAGAGTGCTTGCCTTGAGCTGAAGAGCTCAGGGACAGCACCCAGACCCAGAGTTCAAGACCCATGACTAACAAGAAAAATAAAATTTTGCCACTAGAGCTTCACTGTTTAAAAAAAGCCAGTTATTTTGAAGTGCAAAATGTTAAGGAATATATTTCTAGAGTGTATAGCCAAAATATTTGAATCAAATTAAATCCAACTGAATTCCAAAATGATAGTACCTTTAATAATGCCAACTCTGCTCTCACATCTTGTAATTCAGATTCTTTTTGTTCTAGTAATGGCCTTAGGTCTTCATGTTCTGTTGTAAAAGATTTTTCATTACTGGTTTCATTTCTGCTATGTAACATTTGAGATACTTCTTCAACCTGAATTAAAAGATTCTGATTTTCAAGTCTTGTTTTTTCATTAGTGTTCTTCATTTCTAGAAGCTCAAGTTGTAGAGCTTCTTTCTCTGACACTGTTTCTTCTAACTTTTTACTCAAGAGAACTTTGTCCTGTTCATAGTCTCTTAGCAAAGACCTAAGTTCTTTACACTGAATTGCATTCTCTTCTTGAAGGCACTTAATTTTTTCTTCAAATTCTAATATCCTTTCATCACATTGAAAAATCAAGTGGTGTTTTTCTTCATTTATTTTTGTTAAGGATTTACCCAGAGCTTGTAGGACGTTTCCAACATCTTCATTTTCTTCTGAAACTGTTGACCCCAACTGTTTAAGAAACCCATATAATTGAGATTTGACAAATGACTTCTGAGCTTCTTCCTTTTCAAATAGGTTATTTAAATGATCTCGCTCTTCAATCATTAAGTGAAGTTTCTTTTCTAATTCAGAAATATGTTCTTTAAGTTTAAGATCTCCTTCTTTTTGAGACAGAAGAATTTCCAAATCTCTACTCAATTGGTTCTTTTCAGAATTTAGTCTATTATTTTCCTCATAGAGAGATTTTATTTCAGATGACAATGCTTCCCGGTCTTCAGAGTCAGTTTTCATGTGAACTGTAAGTTGTTCTAGTTTCTGGTCACTTTGACTCTTTTCTTTTAAAGTCTCATGTAGTCTTCCTGTTAATTCATTTACTCTCTGCTCTAGTTCACTCTGCTGCGTGGCAGATTGTTCCACTTTCTCCTGAAGTTCTATAGCCAAGCTATGTTCCCTTTCGCATTTTTTATGGAGATTATCTATCTCTTCGTGGGAATTTTTAATTTTACTTATGAAATCATCTTTTTCTGCACTAAGAGAGCTTACCTTTACTTCTAATTCTTTTAATGCAGCATCTCTTTGACTGAGAGTAATGATGTTCTCTTCATTCTTTTTCTGAAGGCTCTTTATGGTATTTTCAAGTTCTGGCACTAACTCTTGTTGAGATATTAACTTTTCATTTTCCCTCTGAAGATGATTCACAGTTTCAAGAAGAGCATCTTTTTCATTAAAAGCAGTTCTCAGCTTCTGCTGAAGTTCATGAACATCCGATGCTTGCTGCTGCTTCATTGATTCAAATTCTTGACTTATTTTTCCAGCTGATTCTCCCAGTTCTGTTTGTAAAATTTCCATAATCTCTCGCAAACTCTCATAATTTAAGATTGCTTCTTGCTTTTCTTGTTGTAGGTTTTCACACTGTTCCTTAAGACCCTGTATTTCAAACATTAATGTTAACTTTTCTTTTTCTGAGCCTGACAAAAGAGTCTCATTTAGTTCTGATATTTCTTTTTGATGATGTTCCTTAAGATCTTCTACTTCTCTATTATGTTGATCTGTGGCATGGCTGAACTGTTTATTTAAATCTTCTAGTTCATATTTTAATTTTTCTATTACACAGCCCTGTTCTTCTTTAGCTAGTAACAGTTCATTAATTTTAAACTCCAAGTCTTCTCGCTCATGAAAAAACTCATCCTTTATATGTTGGGCATCCATTTCAAGTTTTAATTTAAGATTATTCATGTAAGTAACTTCATCTTTTAAAATACTATGTTGAGATTCCAGTTCTTTTAAGGAATCTTCTAAATGTTTAACTTTCTCATTTGCTACTTGTTCTATCAAAGTATCTTCTTGTAAGAGCACAGAACAAATCTGACTTTCTTGGTTTACATTTGAGGTGCCTTTCCTTAAATTTTCTAATTCATACTCATACTTCTCCTGGATGTTCTTCTTACTTACCTCACACTGCTGTACTAAGTTCTCTGTTTGCTGGTTTAGCTTGTTTATTTCTGACTCATGTTCTTTAGCTGATGCTTCAATCTGGCACAGCAACTCTTTCACTTCTTCCTGATGTATAGCTTTCAACTGCAAAAGTTCTTCTTGTAAGCTAGTAATATCTTTTTGGTAATGCTGAGAGTTTGTCTTAATAATATTTTGAAGATGAGTAATCTCTTGTTTCTTTTCATCAGTGCTAGCTTCCAACTGCTTTTGTAGATACAAAATTTGCTCCTCAAAAGCTGGCCTAATTTTCTGAATCTCTTCTTGTAGTCTTTTAACATTATCTTCAGAGTCTCTGTGAAACTTAAGTTGTTCTAAAAGTTCTGATTGTTTATTCATTGCTTCTTCCAGTTCTTTTTGTAAGGTAGCTTCATCTTCACTATGCTTGGAGTGTATTGCTAACAATTCATTTTTCAAATTTTCAATTTCTTTCACATACTTTCTCTGTGATTGTTCAAACTCCTTGTGCATATCTTTCATCTTACTGATAGACTCCTGTAACAAAAATAAACAGGAAAATTATTTAAGTAAGACACAGAAACCTCTGTCCTCAAATGCACCTAGAGAAATACAATAGTGATATATTCTAAGAATTTTTGTTAGGATTATCCTATCTTAAGGTACTACATGCCAGAAATACTAAACCTGTTACTTAGTAGTAATTGACTAGAAAAATTTCTGCATTTAATTTTCATTGAAAGGGAATAAATTAGCCAGGCACCAGTTGCTCACACCTGTAACCCTAGCCACTTAGGTCAATATGAGGAGGATAGTGGTTCTAGGCCAGCCTGGGCAAAAAAGTTCAGGAGACAATTTCAGAGAAAGAACTGTGTATAGTGGTATGTGGCTGTCATCCTATGATGGGAAGCATAGAAACAGAAGGATAGTGGTCCATTGGATGCACATGGACAGGAAGTGAAACTGGATCACAAAAATAATCAGTATTAAAAAAGGGCTAGAGCTGTGGCTCAATAACAGAGCAATATTGAACAGTTCACAGAATAGCATGTCAGCTGAGCAAGCATATGGCTCTGAGTTTAATTCCCAGTGTCTTTCCAAAGAAAGTAATAAAGGGGGCCCAGGAATGTGGCAGAGTGCTTGCCTACCATGCACAAAGTCCTGGGTTTGGTTCCTCAGTACCACATAAACGCAAAAAACCAGAAGTGGTGCTGTGGCCCAAAGTGGCAGAGTACTAGCCTTGAGTGAAAGAACTCAGGGACAATACCCAGGCCCCAAATCCAAGCCCCATGACTGGCAGAAAAAAAAATAAACAACTAATAAAATTATTTAAGTTGTAAGTCATAAATCTTCAACTTACAGCTCTGGAATAAATTAATTGAAAACTTTTTAGAGAAAATTAGCTTAGACCTAACAGGCAAGAAAGCAGAAATATGCTACTAGAATTGAACTGAACAGGTAATAGTAGTTTGCATTATATTAAAATCAATTTACTTTTTAAAAAGAATGACATTACAGAGAAAAAATTAAACAATGTAATAAGTAAATATTAACTCTTGTTACTCTTGTTTCTGTGTAATTGGATGATGGTACTTAAAACAATCTTAATCTTTGCTTTTGTATTTCATAAAATGGTATAAAACTAGATTCGATGCTTTTCTTTTTTTCACAGTCCTGGGCTTTGAATGCAGGGCCTTGTGCTTGCTCAGGTGGCATTCTTAGCCTCCGGAGTTTCTAAAATTGCTAGATACTCAGGTATGGGCCATTGGCAGCTGGCATTTTATTTCTTCTCTTTCTTTTTCTTTCTTTCTTCCTTCTCTCTCTCTTTCTTTCTTCCTTTCTTTTTATTTTTATTTATTTATTTATTTTTTGGGTCCGGATGTGGGGCCTGAACTCTGGGCCTGGGCGCTGTCCCTCAGCTCTTCAGCTCAAGGCTAGTGCTCTACCACTTGAGCCACAGCGCCACTCCGGCTTTTTTCTTTTTTTGCTTATGGTGCTGAGGAATCGAACCCAGGGCCTCAGGCATGCAAGGCGAGCGCTCTACCACTGAGCCATCTTCCCAGCCCTCTTCCTTTCTTTCTTGACAAGTATATTGCTCTATAGCCCAGGTTGGTCTCAAACTCTTGATTGTCCTGCTTAAGTCTTCCAAGTATTGGTATTACATACATATGCCACCGTGTCAGCCCTGGGTTAGTTTGTTTGGAAGGTTTTACACTGTGTAAGCTAACAAAAAAAATTAAATGTTGTCTTACCTCGACTTCTTGCTTCATTTTAGTATTTTCCTTCTTTAGAGAAAGACATTGTTGCTCAGTCTCTGCTTTTTCCAGAAGTACAGCATCCAGACGTTCAGTCAATGCCTGTTTTAGAACAGGATGATGCGTTTGTGTGTGGTTAAAAAAAAATGGTTGACTAAATGCATAATTATCTCCTGTTTTCAAACCATGCTAAAGAGAATAAAATTGAAAAGGTATAAACCTAAGAACAAAGAGAAAAAGAGAAAAGACATGAGGACAGGAGAAATTTCAATGCATACTTCTGGAAAGCTGAAAGAGAAGAAGGATGAACTATATTAGAAAAAGAAAGGTATGGTACCAGGGATGCAGACATGAGAAGCTATCACTGTTCAGAAATGAGATGCCCAGAAACTGGTAAGAGCAGGGGCTAGAGGTATGGCTCAGTAGTAGAGAGCTTGCCTAGCATTTGTAATAAGGCCCTTGGTTTTATTCCCAGGATCAAAACTGAAACACAGAAACAAAACAAAAAAGCTAAACAAGTAAGTGATAAAACTCAACATATTAGTGATAACACGTACTGTAAAGGGAGATGTGTTAGGTTCAAAGCTGGGGATTGATCTCTGAACAGAGAATAGTCAAAAGAACAGGCAAGAAATAACCTATATTTCTCTTCTCCCACAAAAGGTCTGTTTTGTGTGGAAGAGATTTCCTCTTTGAATGGGAGCAGCTAGTAAAACAGAAAACACATCAATAACACAAGTCAGTTGTTTTAAAAGAAAAAGCTAAGATAACAGACTCTTCTAGTAAAGCTGATCAAGAGCATGGAAAGTTTAAGAGATTATGAGCACTTATCTCTCAATAATTCTGGGATTTCAAGTAAAATGACAAAAAAAATTAGAAGCATAATTCTAGCTACTTATAAGCTAGTAAGATCCCATATCAACAAATGGCATAGTTGTATACATCTATAATCCTAATGACCTGAGAAGTGCACACATGAAGATCACAGTTCCAGGGTGGCTCAGGCAAAAAGTAAGACTCTATCTGAAAAATAACTAAAGCAAAAAAGCGTTGAGGGTATGATTCAAGTAGCAAAACACCTGGTTAGCAAATGGTAGGTCTTGAGCTGAAACCCTAGAAGTGAAAAGAAAACAAGCAAAATGAAGAAAAAAAGAAAAATAAATAAAATGAATAGTTAAAAATTATCTTCTGCGGGCTGGGAAGGTGGCTCAGTAGTAGAGCGCTTGCCTTGCATGCATTAGACCCTGGGTTCGATTCCCTAGCACCACATAAGCAAAAAGAAAAAAAGCCGGAAGTGGCGCTGTGGCTCAAGTGGTAGAGCGCTACCCTTGAGCTGAAGAGCTGAGGGGCAGAGCCCAGGCCCAGAGTTCAGGCCCCACGACGGGACTACAAAAAAATAAAAAAATAAATAAATTATCTTCTGTGGGCTGGGAAGGTGGCTCAGTGGTAGAAAGCTTGCCTAGCAAGCATGAGGCCCTGGGTTCAATTCCTCAGCACCACATAAGCAGAAAAGGCCAGAAGTGGTGCTGTGGCTCAAGTGGTAGAGCACTAGTCTTGAGCTGAAGAGCTGAGGGACAGTGCCTAGGCCTACAGTTCAGGCCCCACATCCCACATACACACAAAAAAATTATCTGCTGTGGGGCATGGGTACCTCATGCCTGTAATCCTAGCTACTTAGGAGGCTGAGATATGAGGATTGCAGTTCAGAGCCAGCCTAGACAACAAAGTCCATGACTCCTCTCCAATTAAATACAAAAAAAAAAAAAGCTGAAAGTGGAGCTGTGGCTGAAATTGTAGAGCACTAGCCTTGAGCAAAAAAACTTAGGACAGCAAGCTCCAGGACTGGGACTAAAAGTATTTTTTTAAAAAAAAAAGCACAATGAGATTTGTAGAAATTATTTTAAGGAGTATAAAGGGGGAGGTCATAGAGGGTTGAGACTGCTCAGGATCTACTATATTCATGTGTGGAAATGTCACAATTAAATCTCTCCTGTATAACTAACATATGCTAATTAGAAAAAGGTTAAAGAGGGCAACAGGTATCACATCATATTAAGAAGAAATCAACTTCAGGTGGACTAAGACTTGTTACAAACATAGCTTTAAAGCTCTTAGAAAATATCTTCTAAACAGTAGACTAGAGAAAGAACCAACTGAGAATATTTCCATATAAAATAATCTGTAGAAAAAGTTCTACAAATCATTAAGAGACCAGACTCTCTGGCCCATAAGAAAATGGGTGTTGGTCACAGAGAAGACCATTGAATAGTATTATTATTTTAAAGCTGAACCTTCAGTAACTTTTGATGTGGCAATTCCACTCATTTAGCTACACAAATTTTTTGTACATGTATATAGGAATGCATACAATAAAGCTCCCAGCACTGTATTATACAAAACAAGGCAAAATCGTTGCCTAGCACAGCATAGTCCAGAAGTGAATTGACTTATAACAACACAATGGGATATTCTCTAGCATCCATGGTGATAAGCAGTGGGAAGCTTTAGGAGACCGCTAAGGGCAAAAGCCCTAAAACAATACAAACAACATGAAGTCAATAACTAAAATTGATTTTTAAATGCTACGTATTTTTGGTGCGTTACAACTTTATACAGGAAAGGGAAAGGGACAATAAATATGGGCCTTGTGAAATAGGGGGTTGAATAAGAATGGGCACAAATTTCACAGAAAGATGCACATTATTTTTAAGATCCTAGATTTCTCTTTGGCACGTAGGTCATTACACTAAGAATAATTAAATTAGAAGGAAACAGTGCAAAAGAAATGGAAGTAAACTTCAAGATAGCATAAATCTATTTTCTCAGAAAGAAAGTTGGATCTTTAAGACAAATGAAAAAGAATATTCAGATATCAAGGACTTCTTCAATATTAAACATTTCAAGCCTTAAAGAGAAATTTTAACACAATCATGGAAAATTTTTAAAAAATAGACATTTCTTAGATAAAATGGAAAATTGGACCCAAAACATAACATTCTACAAGGTTCTGTGGCATACTCTATATATAGACTGTCTCCTTTAATGGATAATCAACTATTTCCACTTCACTTGCCTCTTTTTCTTTTCCATTTCCTGGAATTAATTTCAATAAACACTATTTTATCTATTCAGAGGTACAGAGGCATGTTCCCTTTGTGTTCTTCCCCTAAGAGTAGTATCCTCCTTAGGTCTGTGTCACTTGCCTTTTCTATACATACTACAAAAACTAAAATTCCAGACCCCAGATCTCCCAAGGCAACAGGATAAAGACACAAGAACACAAAAATCAAGTGTGTCTCTGTGGTATCTACTGGGAAACCATGCCAGACCTAAGATCATCTATTTCTGAATTTCTCTGTTAAATAACTCCAATAGAAAAAAACTATTAAAAAAAAAAACGTGAAACAGATATAAAAAAAATTGTAGAATAAAGGCATTTTAAAATAAAGAACAAAAAATAAAAAAAAATAAAGAACAGCTAGGCGCTGGTGCTCACACCTATAATCCTAGCTACTCAAGAGGCTGAGATCTGAAAATTGTGGTTCAAAGCCAGGCCAGGCAGGAAAGGCCTTGAAACTCTTATCTCCAATAAACCACCAGAATACTGGAAGTGGCGCTGTGGCTCAAGTGATAGAGTGCTACTAGCACAGTGCTCAGACCCACAGTTCAAGCCCCATGACCGAAAAAATAAATAATAGCCTCAAAATTTATCTTCAATGTATTTATTCTCAAGAAGCTAATAAAGAATGTGCTCTATTAGAAAGTAGGCATGTGACCTAGACAAGTGACCTAGAGCAAACGGGTCTAACATAAGAAAGCAAAGCACAAGTTTAGTGTTTTGCAAAGGTGAGTTTCAGGAGAACTGCAATAGACCTTAGAATTGCACAGACCAAATGCACATAGGAACACAGGGAAAGGGTCATGCAAATGCAGACCAAAAGGCCCATTGGAGAGATATCCTGAAGCAATACTTGGGCTGTGCTGACTGATAAAGATGGAGGATAAAGGAAAGAGGGAGAGAAAACACCTCTAAAGTTAAAAGGCAAGAAAACCAGTGGTGCTGCTGACTCAACTTGAAAAGGGGGTTTGGTGAGGTTGAGTTTGAGATGACAAAATGTGTAAAAATTTTCCCTCAGGCAGCTCAAACTGTAACTATCAGATGGGGACCAGTGGTCATATCCAGGAATATAGATCTAGCTAAAATCATTGAAGTCCTGAACACAGCATTTTTTTGAAGGGGATAGGAAGGAAAAAGTAAGACAGAGACTGAGGCAATGACTATGATCACTAGGGACAATAATCCTTAGTCCTTAGGGACTATGAGGGAACAGAAAGAGAATATTCATTGCAGATAAAAAAAACCTTTGGAGTTATTAGCACCCCTTTGTTATTTTGTTTTCACTGTGAACCAGAGAGGTTGGGGTAGAACAAGGACAGAAAGCCTGCACTGTTATGACTTACGTGCCTCTGCCAGACTAATAACACCCCCCAAAATGCTATTTATCATAAGATATTTTCTCTAAGAAAATAGAAAAGCAGTATTCACAATGGTTTTTATTACCTTAGTAATATCATCAGTTCCTTTACCAACAGATTGTGACTTGAGTTCTTCAATTTCTTTGTCTAATTCTAAATAATCAAAAAAATTTCATTTCAAAATGAAGAAATTACCACTGAATTGTTAGGACCATTTAAAAAAAACCCACCAAACATCCAAATTAGAATATTTTTAAGCAAACACTGAAAAATATTAATTTCACCCATTTACTATTATTACATTTTTCCTTTTTATTAATGGAAAACTTAAAAAAAAAACCAGAAAAGTAGACAAAATAGTATAATCAATGTTCCCATTCCCATTTTAGCAATTACTATATGACCAATTTCATTTCATCTCAAATATACTCCCTTTCTCCTCTCTTCTGATCCTGTGTCTGACCATTGTAGTAATTTTCAAGCAAATCCTAGAAATCCTTTTATTTCAGATATAATACTTCTTACGGTATAATCTTAAAGCAGCACCTAATCTCATAGTAAACCTGTTAATCTAGATATTTCAACAACACGTGTCTAGTTCTGGAGCCTCCCTCCCCCACACGCCCCCTCAATTCAGCACTCTACCCCTTGAGCCATGCCTTTAGCAACATTTTTAAATACTTATACTAATAAAGAACATAAACATATATTTTTCTTCTAGAATAAAAAGAAAAGGAAACTGAATAGAGAATCAAACAATTTCAACATATATACAATTCAAATTTTTAAGAATGGAAATCTTTTATTATATTACATAAGAAATCATGTCTTTGAGCACATAAATTTGTGTTTACAACTTTTCAACTGATTCCTCTAGAACAAACTTAATCCACAAGAATTTACAATTTAGGGTCTGGGAAGGCAGCCCAGTGGTAGAGCGCTTGCCTCGCATGCATGAGGCCCTGGGTTCGATTCCTCAGCACCACATAAGCAGAAAAAGGCAGAAGTGGCGCTGTGGCTCAAGTGGTAGAGCGCTGCCTTGAGCTGAAGAGCTGAGGGACAGAGCCCAGGCCCAGAGTTCAAGCCCCATTACCAACAAAAAAAAAAAGAATTTACAATTTATGTGAGGTTAAAAAAATGCTAAACTTTGTAAGTTTTTTCAATAGTACTCATGAATTTATTTTTATTACTCAAAGGTAACTACAAGGGCTGAATGTAGTGGTGAACACCTGTACCCCAGCATTTAGGATGAGGAGACAGGAAGAAGTGAGTTTGTAGCCAGCATGGGTTGTGAGATTTTGTCTTAGGAAAAAGAAGAAAAACAAAAAACCTGGACTGTGAAACATGAGTTAAATTGTTAAATAATAAAATTTCATTGTACTAAGATGCATGGGACATCATGGGGCAAATAAAGACAGGTTTTAAAACAGTGCTACTTTAAAAAATAATTTTTAGCCAAGATAATGTTTTCAATCCAGTACCTGTACACTTTGACTTAGCTTTCTGTAACAGCATCATTTGCTTCTTGGCAAACTTGATGAGATCTTCTTTGGGTAATGTTTCCAGCTGAAAGATGTAGTCATATTACCAATGTTATTAACTCATGTTTCTAAGCACTCCACAATAAAACCCCATAATGTCTACCTAGAAATAAAAATACTAAATATTTGATCTAATCAAACATGTTTGTTACAAAATTTTTAAAAATTAGCACATGTAATTTTAACTCAATAATGATTAGCTATCAGGCAAAACAAAACAAAAACAGTACATAACCTCTCACAGATCAGGGCCTGGGCCCTGTCCCTGGATTCCTTTCACTCAAGGCTAGTGCACTACTACTTGAGCCACAGCACTACTTCCGACTTTTTCTGTGATTAATTGGAGATAAGAGTCTCACAGACTCTGTCTGGCTTTGAATTGTGGCCTTCAGATCTCAGTCACCTGAGTACCTAGGATTGGAGGAGCCATCATTGTCCAGCATCATGTTGATTTTTTTAAACTGTACAATTAGGGATTGCAAATAATCAATCAAGTTCCATGAAATTGTAAAATTTATTCTAAGTTGAAAGTCATACCTGGCCACATGAACATATGAGCATAATTATATAGCAAGAAGATCCATCAGGGAACACTTAGGCTTTAAATGAAAGTATTAGGTTTTACTAGTCCCTTTGGGCTCAGTTTTCTCATCTATAAAATGAGAATGACAACAGAACGTATTCTCATGGTTACTATAAAGCTTTTTGGTGCTGGTATTGGGGCTTAAAACTCTGGGTGCAGGGATGACCCTTATTATTTGATCAAGACTGGCACTACTGTTCCACTTCTGACTTTTCGGCGATTAACTGGACCTAAGAGTCTCACTGACTTTTCTTCCTGGATGGCTTAGAATGATGATCCTTAGATCTCAGTCTCTTCGAGTAGCTAGGATTACAAGCCTGATTACAGTCCTGTTAAGGATTGGCTTTCATGGTTATCATGAAGTTTAAAGGAAGAAAAGGAGTGCTTAGGCAAGTGCCTGCAACTTGGTGTCTAAACAATAAACCTCAGCATTAAACCAGCATCTTTCAGAAGTCAGTGGATGTTGAATACAGTACAGTGCACACACAAAAGAAAAACAAACCCAAAAACCAAAAAACAAAACAAAAGCCCGTTTATCACAGGCAGGAACTAGAGCCCACAGAACAGTTCCTCGATTCCTAAGTTACTGCTTTTTTTTCAGAGTTGCTACACAAAGCTCCATAAATCACACTGCTTTCCTTCATGTCTGAAAAAAGTGCAAGATCTCTTAGCCAGAAATTAACAAAGAGCAGGAAGACAATTTAAAAAAAAAAAGTGTTTCCCTATCAAGAAATAACAATGAAAAAAAAAAAAAAACTGAAAATGGGACGGGTGACTGTACATTTAACCCCCAATCCTTCCAGGGCAGGTTAGCTCTTTTACACAGGCCTTTCATGCGTCGGAGGCTCTCCTCACCTTAGATTTTCCGGTCCCAGGGGTGGCGGGAGAGGCCACCCCATCTTGAGCTGGGTCCTGCAAAACAAATAGCCAGGGCTCAAAGGCAGTGCTCCGAAGCCCGGCCGCCACGCGCGCCAACTCTTACAGGTAAACACGGCTACCGTCGTGGCAAACGGCGCTCGAGCACGGGGTGAAGGGGGCGGGGGCGGGCAGGTGACCCCCGGGCTGGGGCGGGCTGGTGACCCCCAGGCTGGGGCGGGCTGGTGACCCCCAGGCTGGGGCGGGCTGGGCGGGCAGGTGACTCCCGGGCTGGGGCGGGCTGGGCGGGCAGGTGACCCCCCCCCCCCCCGGCGGCGGCGCCTCAGGAAGCGGGACGCGCGGCGCAGGGCTTCGGGCGCGAGGTAGGGGTGACCATGCCAACCTCCCTCCTCCCCTTCCCACGAGTTCCACCCCAAGTCCCCACCCTGGGCGCGAAAAGGCTAGTCGCCGAGATGGCCCGCCTGAGCCTGACCGCGGAGAACGCGTTACCTCCATCGTCCCGCAGTCCCGCGGTTCGGCCGGAGCTGCCACCGCAGGTCTTCCGTCAGCGGCGGTCTCTGACGTAGCCTCGAGCACGGGTCAAAGGTCACGTTCTCCGGGGCGGCACCAGCTCCCGCGTCTCCATGGCTACGAGCCGGCAGCGCTTCCGGTTCCGTCTCCGCGGTCCGAGTGGAGTGGTACATTGTGCGTGACTGGCCAGGCTCACTGCTAGTTCCGCCCACTAGCAGACGTGAGGTGGGGGTGTGGGGCAGAGGAGGTGGGACCAGGGGCGTGACGCGGCGTGGCAGTGTCAGTGCCGGCCGTGCTCGTCCCAGACACGGAAGCCTTTGGAGGGTTTGCCTAGGCGCGGGTGTCTCCGAGTACCTAGCCGAGGTACCGCTGCTTCCGCGGGCCTTCCTAGGCAGATGCTGTGGCCAGATGCTGTGCCCCGTTTGTGAATGGATTGATTGATTTGTCGTGGGATTGGACTCAGGGCCCCGGCGCTGTCGTTAGGGCTGGCGTTTTGCCATCGGAGCCACACCTCCACTTCCAGGTTTTTTGTAGTTAGGTTGGAGATAGGAGCCTCACGGACTTGACCGCCTGGGCTGGCTTCGAACCGCAATCTGTAGATCGCAGCTTCCTGAGGAGCTGGGATTCCAGGCTTGAAGGCCCTACCTCCAAACCCGTGCCCAGACATCGAGGCTGGGACTTTCCCTGAAGCAGGCACTCCCTCGATGGAGAACTTGCTAGTAGGGGCCTGTACCTAGGGTGGTAGAGACAAAATGAAGAGAAGACCAGGGAAGAGAGGCAAGGACCCCGCTCATTTTTGAGGCACATCATTGGGAGCTGTTGCTGTGCTCCAAGGGGCCGTACTGTTCCTGTGTAACTGCCATTTACCTCTCCACCCCCATTTTCCATGCACTTATATGAACTAAGGTAACCTGAATATACCACTCACTTCCTTGTAGTTTGGAGTCACACAGGATGTGGACAGAATATAGTTTGTATCAAGTTACTTATTGCTAGGGTAAGGAAGTGTCCTGTAAGAACTGCTAACGAACATCTGCTCTTTTCTTCCTTGTGTGGAACTCTCTTAGAACTGTGTTCTGGGGACTGGGAAGGTGGCTCAGTGGTAGAGCGCTTGCCTTGCATGCATGAGGCCCTGGGTTCAATTCCTCAGCACCACATAAGCAAAAAGAAGCCGGAAGTGGCGCTGTGGCTCTAGTGGTAGAGCGCTAGCCTTGAGCTGAAGAGCTGAGGGACAGTGCCCAGGCCCAGAGTTCAGGCCCCACGACTGGACCCCCCCCCAAAAAAAAAGATAACTGTGTTTTGCTGATTGTATCTCCATAATCTCATCATTCTTTTCCTACTGTGTTTCCTGTATCTTGCCAGTTAAATTTAAAGACTTGATCGGATTCTGGTTTGTGCTTGTATGCATATGTGTATGCACTCGGATGACGAATAGTTTGTAAGTAGTCTGATTCTGTCAGGAGATGTGCAAAGTCTGTTGTGACAGTAATTGGGGCTCTAACAGTAAATGCTTAGATCCATTAATTCATTAGGAGTTGCAAAATCCAACATTCTGATTCTGTATATGTATTTTTAATTTTGAGAGAACTACTACTTCATGAACAATTTTGCTATTTTATGATCAATGTTTAACTCACACTATAGTAAATAATTTTCAAAGCAATCCTCTAAAAATGACTAGTTTTTTTTGTTGTTGTTCCATAAACATTCAGCATTCATGAGTTTAAAAATATATAATGATAGGGCTGGGAAGGTGGCTCAGTGGTATAGCGCTTGCCTTGCATGCATGAGGCCCTGGGTTCGATTCCTCAGCACCACATAAGTAAAAAGAAAAAAGCCAGAAGTGGCGCTGTGGCTCAAGTGGTAGAGCGCTAGCCTTGAGCTGAAGAGCTGAGGGACAGCGCCCAGGCCCAGAGTTCAGGCACCATGACCAGACCCCCCCCCCAAAAAATATATATATTTATATATATATTATATATATATATATATATATATATATATATATAAAATGAAGCTGGGCATCGGTGGCTCATGCCTGTAATGCTAGCTAATTAGGAGGCTGAGATCTGAGGATCATGGTTTGAAGCCAACCCAGGCAGAAAAGTCCATGAAACTCTTATCTCCAATAAACTACTCAGAAAAAAACGGAAGTGGCACTGTGGCTTAAGTGGTAGAGCACTAGCCTTGAGTCCAAAGAGGCTCAGGAGCAGTGCCCGGGTCCTGAGTTTCAATCTACTTTGGCTCTTATGTTTCCCACTAAATAACAACTTGTTCCATTCTTGGCTTTTGGAAAGGAGTTGACCATGTCCTTTTACAAACGCGTTTAACTCTCTGTGTTGGATTAAACCTTCCAGATTGGATGCTTTAATCTTCTTTATCATTGAAACTTATATTTGTATATGTATGTAGACCTATGTATGTGAGCACATATCTGTGAATATGTATTTTTTAGGTCTAACTTCTACAATATGAGCAAAAACGTATAATATTTAGCTTTTGGAACTTAGTTTATCCCATGCGACACAGTGTTCTTCAGTTCTGTCTACTTTTTTTTGCCAAGGACATGATTTCATTTTTTGTTTTTTGTCGGTTGTGTGGCTTCAACTCAGTGCCTAAGCACTGTCCTTGAGCTCTTTTGCTCAAGGCTAGCTCTGTACCACTTTAAGCCGCAATGCCACTTCCAGTTTTTGAGTGGTTAATTGGAGATGAATCTCATGGAGACTTTTCTGGCTGGGCTGGCTTCAGTGATCCTCAGATCTCAGCCTCCTGAGTAGCTAGGATTACAGGCTTCAGCTTCATTTTCTTTATAGCTATAGTCTATCATGTATATATGTGTATATATATAATATATGTGTATAATTATAAATACATACTCCTTTGGATATATGCCTAATAGTGGTATGGTGGGGTCATAAGGTGGGTCTATTTTTAACTTTTTTGAGGAAACTGCATACTAATTTCCATAGTGATTTCACTAGTTTACCTTCCCACCAGCAGTGTATGAGGGTTCCTCTTTCTCCACATTCTTGCCAGCATTTGTTGTTTGTTTTCTTGCTAATTGCCATTATTACTGAGGTATTGAGGTGAGATTAATTTTTTTTGTCAGTGCTGAGGCTTGAACTCAGGGTCTGGGTGCTGTCCCTGAGCTCTTTGTACTCAAGCCTAGCACTCTATTATTTCCAGTTTTTGAGTGATTAATTGGAAATAAGAGCCTCATGGGGACTTTCTGCCTGGGTCTAGCTTCAAATTGCGATCCTCAGATCTCAGCCTCCTGAGCAGTTAGGATTATAGGCATGAGCCACTGGCACAAGTTTAACTTGCATTTCTTTGTGGCTAAGGATGTTGAACATCTATTAGCCATTTGTTATTTCTTCTAAGAACTGTTTAATTTACTTTCCTATTTATTAATTGTATTATTTGCCCTTTCACTGTTCATTTTTTTACCTGTGTATTAATTCTTTAGCTGTTGAATAGTTGCTGAAGATTTTCTCCACTTCCCTAGGTTATTACTTAATTCTGGTGATGGTTACTGCAGAAGTTCTTCAATTTGAAGTAGTCCTATTTGTCCATTCTCGTTCTTATTTTCTGGGCAATTAGAATCTTATGTAGACAATAATTAGCTATGCCTATAACTTCGGGTATTTACCCTATGTTTTCCAGTAGTAGATTTAAAGTTTTAGGTTTTGGATGGCTGTTGGTAGCTCATGCCTCAGATCCTAGCTACTCAGAAAGCTGAGATCTGAGGATCATGATTCAAAGTCAGCCTGAACAGAAAAATTCTTAACATTCTTAACATTCTTTTGTCCAACTAAACAGCAAAAAGCTGAAGTAGAATATGGCTCAAGTGGTAGAGAAATAGCCTGGAGTAAGAAACAAACAAACAAAAAGCAAGTGAGAGTTTGAAGCCCAGAGTTCAATCCCCAGTACTGGCCTATACACAAAAACAGTGTCTTATTTGGAATGTTTTGATGTATTTGAGGTTTATTTTTTGTGCAGGATGAAATATAGGTGTAGAGCTCACTTTGGCAGCACATATACTAAAATTGGAACGATACGGAGAAGATTAGCATGGCCCCTGGGCAAGGATGACACACAAATTCGTGAAGCGTTCCATATTTTTTTTTGATGCTAGTGTTCTGCACCTTGTATATACATTTTGGTAATTTGGGGAGGGGAAGGGATATTGCAGAACACTTAAATGAGGATGCAGGCTGACCCATTTTGATGACGAGATGTACAGGACACTATATTGAAAATGAATTTTACAATGTTACAATGGTTACTGCAGAAGCTCTTTAATTTGAAGTAGTCCTATTTGTCCATTCTCATTCTTATTTTCTGGGCAATTAGAATCTTATTTAGACAATAATTAGCTATGCCTAATTAGCTATGCCTATGGAGGGGGCAGGACAAGTTGGGGAGATGGGGAGGGGGGATGATAGGGGAAAATAAAGGAGGAGGTAACAATGCTTGCTATGAAATGTACTCATTATCCTACTCATGTAACTGTAACCTCTTTGTACAACATTTTTACAATAAAAAAAAAAAGAAATATAGGTGTAAAGTTTCAGACTCCTGCAAGTGGATACCCAGTTTTCCCAGAACCATTTGTTGAAGAATCTTGTCTTTTTTCCAGTATATACTTTTGGTTTCTTTGTCAAAAATTAGATGGCTATACTACTGGTTTTATTCCTGAATTTTTTATTCTGTTCCATGGGTCTTCTGTTCCTTTTAATGAAAAAAAGTCTTGTACTTCCTACCTTGGTGATTATAATGAGCACTAAAATCTAAATATGGTAATAACCTGCCATAGTTTTAAAGTGATTTGTAAACATTGTTTGGTCTCCTAATATTCTTAAATTCTATGCAAAAAACTATTTAGAAATGCTTTAGCTGGCACTGGTGGCTCACACCTGTAATCCTAGCTACCCCATAAGACCCTTATTTACAATTAACTACCAAAAACTTGGAAGTAGAGATGTGGCTCAAGTAGAGGTATGACTCAAGAGTTCCAACTTCAAGTGAAAAAGTGGTGCTCAGGTCCTGAGTTCAAA